AAACAAGCTACTGCTTAGCAAGTCTATCAGTTAGCATTACAAGAGGTTGACTGATATTGGTTCTTCTGTCAATGCCGATATGTAAAGGTAATGGTCTGACGATGAAGGATGTGTGCTGCTGATTTTCTGGGCCAACTTTTATAGCCGATATCTAGGTGTTTGCATGCTAAAATGTCACTAATAACATCAGCTGGTGCACAATATTTTTGAAGCTGAATCCATTTCTGAACCCTGAATTTAACCATCTGTTAAATCTTAATGTTGTGCACTGCTCAGTGTTAAAATCAGACATCTAACTAAAGTTATTCAAACAAATCAATCAACTGACAAAGTATTAAATATTCATAACTGGTATGTAAAAATACATTTTGGTAGAAAATAATTTTGCTGTGTTGTGGAGTTCCTAATGCTAACGGTTAGCTTCTACTAGTCGAGACATTCTCTGCTGTTTCCTGGACGCTAAACCAACAAGTCAGGATGGGTGACTCCATGAATGTTAAGTGACAGTGTAATGTAGATCTGTCAGGATTTTCTATTCCTAGAGTTTCACCATCTATTTTCTGTCAGAAGCTAATGCAGGAGATAGGTGTAGGAGACTATTTTCGTTTTCAGCCTGCATGGAAGATGTAGAAATAATAATCAGAAATAAAAATTTTAAAATGGTTTTTCGGCGTTCCACACCTTGAAAAATATATTAACCATGATTTCGACAACTATACCTTTTCATGGTTCCATTTTTCTTTTAAAGTTCTTGTAAATTAAGAAGTTAATTACAATATCCATCCATCCATTTTCAGCTGCTTATCTGGAGTCGGGTTGCTGGGGTAGCTACCTAAGCAGAGAGGCCCAGACTTCCCTCTCCCCAGCCACTTGGTCCAGCTTCTCCAGGTGAATCCCAATGTGTTCCCTGGCCAGCTGAGAGACATAGTTCCTCTAGCATGTCCTTGGTCTTCTCTTGTGTTTCCTCCCGGTTGGACGTGCCCTGGAAAACCTCATCAGGGATGCATCCAGGAGGCATCCTAATCAGATGCCCGAGCCACCTCAAATGGCTGCTCTTGATGAGGGGGAGCTGCGGGTCTACTCTGAGCCCCATCCGAATGATTGAGCTTCCTACCCTATCTTTAAGGAAGAGCCCAGCCACTCTGCGGAGAAAACTCATTTCGGCCGCTTGTATCTGTGATCTCGTTCTTCCGGTCACTACTCAAAGCTCGTGACCATAGGTGAGGGTAGAAACGTAGATCGACTGGTAAATCGAGAGTTTCACCTTCCGGCTCAGCTCTCTCTTCACCACGACAGATTGGTTCAATGCCCACATCACTGCAGACCTAGCACCAATCCACCTATCAATCTCACACTCCATCTTTCCCTCGCTCGTCAACGAGTTACCACCCCGAGATACTTAAACTCCTCCTTTTGGGGCAGGTCTTCATCTCTGACCTGGAGAAGACATTCTACGATTTTACAATTCAAGACCATGGTCTCTGATTTAGAGGAGCAGATTCTCATCCCAGCTGCTTCAATTATAATAACAAATATATTATTCTTAAATACACTTAAGAGTCAATATTGGCCATTTGGATGTACTCTTCTAAATTCATTGGATTTTCTAGTTTCTATTGGGTGATTTTAGATGTTCAAAAACCACCATTTTGACTCAGGTGTAACCAATAAAACCTGTAAGCCTGCCAGAAGCTCCATCTCTTTTATATTTCAATTCATCAGTGAGTAAGCGTGCACAGTGCCAGCGTCTGTGTTCCATTTTCAACATGTTTTTCCCACCATGCAGAGATGAGCTCCTGGACAGCTTTTATTCAGTACACACATTTAGAAGAAAGGGTCAGGATGACACCGTGTTAGCAAAGTTTGAGAAGAAGAGCTGACACACTCAGTTGCACCAGATCTGTCAGCAGCCGCGCCTGATTGGGATGCGTCTAACTCCTGAATGAATTTCAAACTGGCTCAGTCACAAATAGATCTGGGTTTTCTCTGTGGTGAAAATGGTCTCAGCCCTTTGTTATTGAATCTTCTCTTTGCTCTTTGGGTTTTGATGTGTTTCTTCTCCTGGATCTGCTTCCAGACCAGTTCCCTTTTGGGACCAGGCGGCCCAGGAGGAGTGGGTAGATCCGGGTTGATGTCTGACACTGCTGTAATGCTTATTGGTTGATTCATCTCAGCCCTCCATTACTCAGTCCACCCCAACCAGCTGCAAACCTCCAAATCAAATCTATGAGTCATTCTCTTTACACCCGGGACTCTTTTCAGCACTGTAAATGTGTTTTGTGCTGCTTGATATTGTTGCTAAGTAAAGTGTCTGCTTCATGGTTGGTTGCAACAGTAAATGTCTGAGTAAATAAAAGCGGAGGGTATTGTGTTAATGTGGACAATCCTCCCGAGCACCTGGCTGCTGCTTTATCACTCCCTCTGATATCGTCTTTTATCCACAGGAAAAAAGAAAAATCGCATTTGTTATGAAAACCAGTCATTTTTATTGTCTGGTTTTGGAAAACTACCAGAAAATTTGCAAGTTGCAGTCAATCAGATGTACCGATACAACAGCTGCGGCACGTATAGCAGCGTAGTAATTACAACGTTGTTTGTTTCTAGATAAAAAGCATGATTGAAACAACATCATGCAAAATTGTAGAGGTTTGAAAACGTGTGTCCTAATGCGTGTGTAAAGTATTTGAAATCAGTTGGTTTCCAATTTGATACTTTTGGCTAGCCATGAGCATTGCTCCAGTCAGAGGACTTCATGTTTCTAGAGACGTTGCTCACTTTGAGTGAGCAGGTTTCTGACCTAGAAATAAAAAAAATGTCACTTTATGTGTGACAATGCCCTGACCAATAAACAAAAACACACTTTAGAGAATTTTTATGGGTTAGGTTTAGGGTTACAGTATGTTTAGTTGTAATTGGATACTTGTTGCGTGCCATAGAGGGGTTAGGGTCAGACTGTTTCCACCAATCCAACATGTGATCGGGATATCATGGCTTCACTTTTGAATGGTGGAATTCAACAGAGATGCATCGTCCATTTTTATTTATAAAGGGTCAAGGTGCTTTATTTGCCGCTTCTGCAAGAAAATGCCAGATTTCAAGGAAATCTGGAACTAGTTTGCAAAGATCACCTGGTCAATAACAAGATCTAAAAACAAATCTTAGTTAAAGATGAGACTAAAGTAGGTAAATTGTAAAGAGATAAAAACAAGATAAAAAAAGATAAGGAAGATAAATAGGTACAGTAGATGTAGAGATAAATGAAAAGAGATACAAATGTTTACAGTGATTAAAACATCCAGCTAGTCTGATATAATAATATAAAATCAACGTGAAATCTGGAAGGCTGAGGACGCACATCAGCAGTTAGATTAAGGTTTTAAAGGCAGTTTTGCTGGCTTTTAGCACCCCCTAGTGTCCATTATCAATTCACTGTGGTTATACTGAAAATGAAACTTATCTCCTCGTTGTGCGTTTGTTTTTTTAACACCTTAATCTAACAGCTGACATGTCTCCTCAGCTTTCATTAGTTTCTAGAGGAGCAGTTCATCACTAAGTCAAACTAATCAGCTGTGTTCACCATCTAAAGCATGCAGGAAACATGCTGGAAGCAGACTGCCGCACCAGGTATGTCAACTGCAATCCACCACGAGTCCGATATTCTGACCACAGAGGGCAGTTGGGGTCTGAGTGACATTTCATTAACCCTGTAAAGGGTCATTTTTGCACATGCTGGCTCAAGAAAATGATTTAAAAATCAGAAAAAAACTGTAAAGTGGCTTTTTGAAAAGACAAACGCACAGCGAGGAGATTAGTTTCAGTTTTGCTTTTACAACAGTGAATAAATAACAGACTCTAGGGCGTGCTACAATCAAGCCAAAACTGCAAAGTTTCCTTTAAAGATTTTTTTACTTAAATTTAACAAATAATTTAAAGTCTTGAAACAAATTGGAAACTTCAGCATGTTATCTTGTCTATTGGAAGTGTTTTGTCTCCACAGCCGGTTGCTTTCATGTAATTTTGGTTTCTTTAACCAGCAGAGGGTGGTTTTCATGTGCTGACGGTCGTGGTTTTCATGTGCTGACAGGACCGTCTCCTGTTTTGCATGGTTAAGCTGAGAGAACACAGATACTTGTTTAAGCAGGTCTGGGTGACATTTAGTGTGCTATTGTAGAGAGGAGTGAGGGGATTAGATCAGTGGACGCATGAGCAGGGTGATGGTGACGCAGTTCTTGTCATTTTCAGTGTCCCGTCCTCGTGGGTCCCAGCCCACAGCAACATGAGTGTTTGGAAAAGCCAGGAGACAGGAAATGGATGTGACAACAGGCTCCAGCTGTGCCAAGCAGTGATGTGCTGGAGATGATCTCCAAACTGTTACAGATTATTTTAGGTAGCTTTTTGTTTCGAGACAACTTGATACGTATATTAATCAAAAAGAAAACCAGTGAGTACAATTAATTATCAGTTTATGAGGATGAGTGAACCGGCTGCAAAGTCTCAAGTTTAGTCGACTTTGGTGTAATATTGTTGTCTATCATGAATGAATGTGCTTATATAATTTCGAATGAATCTAAATAAACAGAATTATGTGCAGGACACAACATGAAGCCCACAGACTGGATAAAAATATAGTTTCAAGTGTTGTTCACTTATTTACCTTTCTTCGTAGTTATTCTGAAGCCCTGGTTTCTAGCAGTCTAATTAAAATGGACAAACAGCAAACATTCTAAATGAATGAAAAGAAAAAAACTATTCTCTGTGTGTGTTACTTATGCATTTCTATCTTTATTGCAGATTTTCTTAATAAGCCCAACCCAGCGCATATCTTTTTTATCCTTCATTTCTTTATGTTTTGCTGTTAAAGGGAAACTCTTTTAAAATAAATGTTTGTGCTTTTTGTGTCAGAACCAGCGGATAACTCTGATGATTATTAGGGGTAAAGACCGTGCATGCCATCATCACCCCTTGATCACATGACCTTTGTTCTCCTGTCTTCTCTGTAGCTTCTCATCTGTAAGAGAACCGGCTCAGCTCTGCCATCCACCTCCACCCCGCTGTGCTGCATCAACGTCTCGTATTTTTCTCCGCCCTGATCAACCCATGGAGAGAACACGCCCACCCAGATAGGATGCCTGACCCGCCTGACGCCCTGTGCCCCCTCCTGCCCGTCACCACCACCTCCTTCTCCTTTCATGTACCTGCTCTTGCCGACACTTCTCCGCGGGACTTCATACTGTGCCCTGCCCCGCGACAACATGGTGGATGAGGTAACCACCATGAAGGATGATGTCATCAACGCCAACACGCTGGCTTGGCTGGTCTGCTCGGGCGTGTCCATTCTGGCCAACACTTGGAGCATCTTGAGCGTCAGCGCCAAGCAGAAGAAGTGGAAGCCACTGGAGTTCCTCATCTGCACCCTGGCGGGGACACACATCCTCAACATGGCCATCCCCATCACCATGTACTGTGTCATAACGCTGCGGCGCCAGCACTCCAGCTATGAGTGGAACGAGGGTCTGTGTAAGGTGTTTGTGTCTACCTTCTACACTCTAACGCTGGTCACCTGCTTCTCTGTCACCTCACTCTCCTACCACCGCATGTGGATGGTCCGCTGGCCTGTAAACTACAGGTATGGCGTCAGGAATTCAGCATAACATAAAAGCTTTATTTGTTCCCAATCCCTCTGGTGTGTGTGTGTCTGAGAAACATAAAACATATTCTTTTTGAAATACGATCAGTCTAGCTGAGTTTCACATGCATGCAGGGTGTGAAGTAGTAATCTAACCCTATTTCCTGCATTAGCCACCAAAGGAAAATCGACTGGGAAATGATCAGGTTGGAAAAGCCAGTCACATCTATGTCATACTGTAAATTAGCATTCATGGACTCACCCATCTTAACTCATGACGGGGAAGGAAGTTGTTTGTTTAGCGTCCAGAAAACAGCAGAGAATGTCTCCGATAGTAGAAGCTAACTGTTAGCATTAGCAACTCCACAACGTGGTAGAACTTTCAGGCTTGAGTTATTTGTGGAGATAAAACATCAACGTTGCAGAGCAAATGGAGTCAGTGGGAGAGTCACATCGTTAGCCAATCAGAAGCGAGATTTCCGAATATCAGGAAATAAGATTCCAGATCTTTCCGTTTTCTGCCTCCTTCTCTGCCGGCCAACTTCTACTTGAGCTAACTTCTACTTCCTGAAACAGGAGCACCAGAGCTTTTCTATCCTCCTGAGACCTGCGTCCACATATGAGGACATTTGCTTCTGGCACTAGAATATTTTATTCTCTTCAACTTAGACCTTTTTTATTGTTTAGAAACATTTGATAGTGAACTTATGTACAAAATATATTTTATTTCAGTTTTTCCTAGGAAACCTGTCAATATTTTTATTTAATTTGAATTCACATCACACCAAATACAAGTTCAGGTCTCAGGAGGCTATTTTCTGCAGAAAGTGACTCACATTAATTTATACTAGAGACCACATCAGATTTAATTAAATAACAAGTGCCATCCCACTTTCACACATTATTTTATTCAAGAAATTAAATCATAAGTGATCAAAAAGATTAAAGGATTTTATTTTGATTGTTGCCTTCACAAATAAAAAGGCTTGTTACAGAAAGTCTTGCGATTACACTTATTATTGGGACCATTCTCTGCTGAAGAAATGGTTGCTATGAAAATTATGGACAGCATGTTCTTTGGATTATCGCCATTTGCAGCGAGAGAGAGAGAGAGAGAGAGAGAGAGAGAGAGAGAGAGAGAGAGAGAGAGAGAGAGAGAGAGAGAGAGAGAGAGAGAGAGAGAGAGAGAGAGAGAGAGAGAGAGAGAGAGAGAGAGAGAGAGAGAGAGAGAGAGAGAGAGAGAGAGAGAGAGAGAGAGAGAGAGAGAGAGAGAGAGAGAGAGAGAGAGGCCCCATGTTAAGAAGCTGTGTTGCAATAATTAGGAGAATTTTGAAGAATAAAGAAATACCACTGTGCCTTTTTATGCAGCCATCTAGTAAACAGTAAAACCTTATATTGCATTTGTAAAAATGTATTTTATTGACAAACTTTCTGCAGAGAAACGAAAAAGTTTCGAAAAGTCACTTTGAAGAAAGAATGTTATTTAAGTCATTTGGAGGTTTTGGAGCAGATTCCTGAGTTAGGAGGAGGACATCTGGTGCTTTCTGTCAGACTAACAGTCTTCAGGCAGGATGGATTTGCATCAGGTGGAAGTTTCTTCCCTGCCAACAAATTAGCTGGCTGCAGTTATTTGGAGTGACATCGTGTCAAACTCTGAGCATCTGCCAGCTCTGGCATCATTCTTCACAACATTTGATATTTATTAAGCATCACAGAATAATATGAATCAGGGTCAGCACACATTAACAGCACTAATACTATTTTACTCCTGTTAGACTCACCGGGCATCTACTGTTCGCACAGAATCAGATGTTTAGAGTCGCATTGTTGCCTTTTCTCCAGTAAGATTTAAGGTCTATGTTTGCATTTAGAGTGGCCTGTATGGTAAATGGCCTGTATTTGATGTAGCGCCTTCTAGAGTCCTGGAACCCCCCAAGGCGTCATTCACCCATTCACACACACATTCACACACGGTAGGGATGAGCTACAATGTAGCCACAGCTGCCCTGGGGCGCACTGACAGAGGCGAGGCTGCCGAGCACTGACGCCACCGGTCCCTCCAACCACCACCAGCAGGTAACATGGGTTAAGTGTCTTGCCCAAGGACACAGCGACAGACTGAGCGGGGCTCGAACCTGCAACCTTCCGATTGCGGGGCGAGCACTTAACTCCTGTGCCACCGTCACCCCAGAGTGCCAATGTCATATGAGCTGTTGTTTAATAAGTCTGCAAGACATACTTTCTATACAGAGTTATAAGTTCACTCGTTTAATCAATGCATTTGTAGTGGTCTCTGGTAGGAAAGAATGCCTTGTAAGTCATACTCAAGGGGTAGGGGGGACTTGGATGGGCCAGTTTCAGGAAGCACAAGTCACAGACAAGAATACATAGAAGCATCATTGGGCGCTGTAGAGCATAATAACCTCACCGCCATATTGGATGGGTTTCTCACTCTGCAATTCCAACAGGAGTTAATGCAGGGTGAGCAACTCTGCCCATTTTATGTGCAGCCTACTGTTGCAACAACCAGGGGCCTCATTTATCAAGCTTGCTTACGCACAAAACGGGGTCGGAAAACTGCGTAAGCAACTTTCCACGCAAACTTTGGGATTTATAAAAGAAAACGTAGCAGAAAAATGTGCGCAACTTTAAGTTGACTAAGGACCTGGCTTACGCACATTTTGGACATAGAGAGCACCTGCAGTGTTGCTGCTGAGACAACACATTCTCACACTCTAAGCGTCGAAAAATGATGCGTGTGACCAAGCGCCAAAATATGACGGGCAGGGTGACCCAGCGCGTCGGGAGGCGACGCACAGGGACAGAGCGTCGGATACCGACGCCCGCGGTGAGACGGACATTTGACCGACTTGTGACCTTTACCGTCTTGATATTTAACCTTCCCCTCACACCCATCCTAACCTTAACCAGCTTGCGCATGCTGGTTAATGTTAGCAAGCTTTGTTTCGCTTTCCGTCATCTAAAACACGCTTAATAGTAAATGTGCACAGTTGTACTGGGTAAAGGTTAGGATGGGGGTGAGGGGAAGGTTAAATCGCTAGAGGTTAGAGGTGCAATGCGGGTTAAATGTCCGTCTCACCGTGGGCGTCGGATACGGACGCTGTGGTACAGCGCGTGTCCCTGCACGTCGTCTCCCGACGCGCTGGGTCAACCTGCCCGTCATATTTTGACGCTTGGTCACACGCGTCATTTTTCGACGCTTAGGGTGTGAGAATGGGTTAGCTGAGAAGGACAAAATTATGAATTCCAGCAATGTTATCACTTGGACTGCTTCGTGCGCACACAGAACAAGTAATTCCCTGACATTTTGGATTAGATAACAGCAACACAACTCTACCACTGACTCTGTTTACTCTGCAATATGAATGTTTCATCTATACAAATAACACAAGCTTGGAGGAGTTCTGCTGTGTCGTAAAGTTGCTAATGCTAATAGTTAGCTTCTGCTAGTCGAGACATTGTCTGCTGTTTCCTGGATGCTAAACCAACAGCAGCTTTTCCCGTTGCCAGTCAAGATGGGCGAGTCCATGAATGTTAAGTGACAATGTGATGTAGATCTGTCAGAATTTTCTAATCAAGAGCTTTACCTTCTATTTTCTATCAGAAGTTAATACAGGAGAGTGTAGGAGATTATTTTCATGTTCAGCCTGCATGAAAAACTCAGAGTGGCCAATTATAATCAGAAATAATCATTTAAAAAGTGTTTTTCAGTGATCCACACCTTTGAATGTTTTACAGCTCTAAGGTTTAGATTTTGGTGCAGTTTATCTATTATTTATTGCTTTGCAGATCTCCATTCCAGAAAAAAGCCCAACATTTTTCAGTTCATTGATATTCTGGAGTAAAAATGTGGCAAATGCATCCAAAAAGCACCAACAACTCAGATTACATACAAGCTACTCTCATCCAGCTAAAACCAGAGTTGTGCAGCATGTGGTGAAGAACACGGTCTCGTTGTCTTGGGTTTCGTCCCTGCCGAAACACACGGACTGATTGTACAGCCTGTGGCATCAGCATCACAGCTTCTCCGTCTACAGTCAGTTCAGCCAAATCTGCAAACAAGCACACATTCAAACAAGACGAACACTTCCTTATGAATCTGTCCTCTAGCCGTACAATCCGTACAACCCAAGCAACTGATGCCCACACAGGCTCTGCACGACAGCTTCTTATAGATGCACTTTCATCTCATGTCTGGAAGCTTTAACCTTCCCATATTGCATCTCTTCTTCTTTAAAATCCCTTTCTTTTGCAAGAAGCAGAGCTCAGGTGTTCCTTTCTTTTAAATTACTTTGCATTCATCCTGCTGAGCTCGCATGGCTGCTTCATCTCTGACATTAACACATACTGAAGCCCAGAATTATGAATTCCAGGCTTGTACTTAGGGAAATGTTCTCATGTGCTCACTATCTCATAGAAATGATTTCCCACACAATGCTCCCAGCCTCTCTCTGGTAATAGATTCATGCAGCTCGGTGACGTAACCTCCCCATGTACCCCAGGCACATTCAGGGAAGGCTAGCATTACTCACTGTGACAACAAGATGCACTCGTCTTTGCAAAGAGCCTCAGTGCAAAGATAGAGGTGGCTGCTGCCCCCTCTGTGCCATTCATATTGTATCAGCGCATGAAACTGAATGTGTTTTATTTTGTTTTAAAAGGTTTAAACATTCATTCTGTTGCTCCTTTTTTGAGTTATAAAAGTGTCCTTTGTCTACAAAATGAAGAGGGGTGGTTAGTTTACTTGTGCTAATCTGAATGAGTTTACAGTCTTAATTTAAAATGATCTTCATATGTGCTGAAATGAAAAGACATTATTATTAAAATTTTACACAGTTGAATGAATAAAAGTGAATCACAGTTTTGACTTCATTATTTTTCAACTGAATGTCATCTTACTCAGGCTAAAATTAAAGTATTAATGTAATGCAAAACTCATCTTTTGCATCCTTTGTGGTGCCACGCGGGTCTTTACTGCCTCCATAAACACTCCAGACATGAAAAAATCCTGTCCACCCATTTTCGATCAATGTTTGGTTTTAGTAATTATGTGCCTAAAAGAAGCTGCTCCAAACAATTCTCCTTTTGTGATGTCACAAATGGGGAAATTAGCATAGATTCACCTCTCATTTGAATGAATGAGCTGCTGCTGGTGGAGCAGCGGATCTGCTCTGAGCCCCACCCAGATATTAACTCTTCTAACCTTATAGAAGCCAGGGCGGGGTTAGATGGGAGTGGCCAGGTCCAGCATGTGACTTCAATTCAATTCAGTTCAATTCAAAAATACTTTATTAATCCCAGAGGGAAATTGATTGCTGTAGTAGCTCAGAATAATAATAATAATCAAGTCATCAAAGAGTTGTTGTATATTACATTGGCTGTTGGCAGGAAGGATCTCCAGTAGCGGTCAGTGTTGCAGCGAAACTGAAGAAGCCTCTGACTGAAGACACTCTTCTGTTGTCGGACAGTCTTGTGAAGAGAATGCTCAGGGTTGTTCATAATTTTCTTGATTCTCTGGAGAATCCTTCTTTGCATTATCTCCTCCAGTGGTTCCACAGTCGTCCCCAGAACAGAACCAGCCCTTTTCATTAGGCTGTTGAGCCTTTCAGATCCCTGCTTCTGATGCTGCTACCCCAACAGACGATGGCTGAAGAGATTACACTCTCAACAACAGACTTGTAGAAGATGTGAAGCATCTTGCTACAGACATTGAAGGACCTAAGCGTCCTCAAGAAGTGCAGTCTGCTGTGTCCCTTCTTGTAAACGGCTTCGCTGTTCTTTCTCCAGTCCAGTCTGTTGTCCAGGTGAACTCCAAGGTATTTGTATTCCTCAACCACCTCCACTTCTTCTCCCATGATGGAAACAGTGTTTGACTCCACCCTGTTTCTTCTGAAGTCTAAAGTCATCTCCTTTGTTTTGTTCACGTTCAAGATCAGATGATTGTTTCCACACCATGCTACAACGCGCTCCACCAGCTCTCTGTACTCAGCTTCCTGTCCCTCTCTGATACACCCGACAACCGCAGAGTCATCTGAGTATTTCTGTAGATGACAGGTCTCTGATTGTACTGGAAGTCTGAGGTGTACAGGGTGAAAAGGAATGGTGAGAGTATAGACCCCTGTGGTGCTCCAAAGTTACTGATCACCTGGTTTGATGTGCAGTTCTTCAGCCTCACAAACTGTGGTCTGTTTGTCAGGTAGTCTTTAATCCAGGCGATAGTTGAGGCCCCCACCTGTGTCTTCTGGAGTTTCTGGCAAAGTACATCCGGCTGGATTGTGTTAAATGCACTGAAGAAATCAAAGAACAAGACCCTCACAGTGCTGCCTGCTTTGTCCAGATGACAGTGGACTGGTTGAAGCAGCTGGATGATGGTATCTTCAACTCCAACTCCATGGCGATAAGCAAACTGCAGCGGGTCCTGACATGTCCTAGTTTGCTTATTCAGGTGGACCAACAGTAGTCTCTCCAGGACCTTCATGATGTGGGATGTCAGGGCAACCAGTCTGTGGTCGTCATTGACTGATGGGCGAGTTTTCTTTGGAACTGGAACAAGGCAGGATGTCTTCCACAGGAATGGAACCTTCTCCTGGGCCAGGCTGGGGTTGAAGAGGTGCTGCAGAATACCACAGAGCTGCTCTACACAGGCCTTCAGTTCTTTGGGGCTGACACCATCTGGACCTGCAGCCTTGTTCCTGTTCAGTCTCTCCAGCTGCCTCTTCACCTGACTTCTAGAGACAGATAGGTGGGAGGGGGAGGTAAATGGGGCAGCAACATCTCCTGACTTGGTTGAAGACAGATGTATAGAACCAGAAGAGTCCATGACTGCGTTAGAGGACAAAAGAACTGGCGTGTGACAGGAAAATGTTGGATCAGAGGAGGATGGGATGTCTGATTGGCTGGGGACAGGCGAGGAGGATGCTGGGTTTGTTCCTGAACTGAACCTATTCAAGAACTTGTTCAGTTCATTGGCTGTGTCCAGACTGCCATCTGTGCAATCCTTCCTCTGCTTGAAGCCTGTGATCTTCTTCATCGCTGACCAGACATCTCTGATATTGTTCCTCTGTAGTTTGTTCTCCAGCTTCTTCCTGTATGCCTCCTTGCTGTCTCTGATCTTGATCTTCAGTTGCTTCTGTATACTCCTCAATAATTCTCAGTCTCCCTCCTCGAAGGCTCTTTTTTCTCATTTAGCAGATTCTTCAGTTCACTGGTGATCCAGGGTTTGTTATTAGTGAAGCATCTCACTGTTCTGGTGGGTATGATATTGTCCAGAAGAGGTCAAGTTTTGGACATGTATGCATTTGTTACATTTGCATAACACAAATCCAATGTCTTGTTTTCTCTGGTGGAGCAGCTGACAAACTGTTGAAATGTTGGAAGTGTAGCAGAGATCGAGGCATGATTAAAATTACCAGACAAAGCCACAAATGCATTGGGGTGCTGGGTTTGTAGTTTACTGACAATGAAACTGATGGCATCACATGCATTTTCAGCAGTGGCTGAAGGTGGAATATAAACGGTTGCCAAGACAACACTGGTGAACTCTCTTGGCAAATAATATGGGCGACAACTTACTGCCAAGAGTTCAACATCTGGGCTGCAGAGACGACGTTTCACTGAAACATGACCTGGATGGCACCATCTGTTGTTGACAAGCACTGCCACTCCACCTCCTTTTCTTTTCCCGCTCCTCTTCAGATCTCTGTCTGCTCGTACAGTCAGGAATCCTGGCAGAGAGACGCTGGAATCGGGGATATGGTCCAGCAGCCACGTCTCAGTGAAACACATAACACTGCACTGCCGATACTCTGGCTGAGTTCTTGAAAGGGCTTGGAGTTCATCCACCTTGTTGGCCAGTAATCTCACATTGCCCATTATGATCGATGGAAGAGATGGTTTGAATTTCCTCTTTCTCTGTCTCCGTTTTGCTCCCGCTCTGCACCCACGCTTCTTGCGTTTTCGCTCATTTAGGATTTGCGGCTTCAGTTGAGGTATTATTTCAGCCTTTCCAATATTAATCAGCTGCCCCTGATTGTAAACCAGCTTGTTGCCATGGTTACGCATCATAACAAATGGTCAAAAAGTGAAAAAAGTGGAAAAAAATAGCAGTAAAAATCCTCTAAGCTTCACAGCACCAGAAACAGAAAAGTAAAAGGTTAAAAAAAATACAGTTTTTCTTAAGATGCTAGAAGAAAAAATGTCCAAAAGAGGCTAAACTTACATGTAGTTAACAGAGCTACTCCAACATGCAGCCACCCAGAGCAGCGTGAGAATTGGAATGACAGAGCCCTGAAATGACTTCTGGAAGGTACTGAAAATGTGAAGAATGAAACTGCTACAATAGTTTATCTGTGAGAGGAATTTAGTGCAAAGAACTTCTTAAAAATTCTCTGTTTCCACCACAGATTTATTATAACTTAAATGTGTGGATTTTCTGCTTTTTGCCTTTTATTGATCAAAGTACATGGATATCTATTTTTAGAGCTTGAACTACTTGTGTTTCTTGTGTCACAGCTGACTGAAAACTATGAAAACATAACTTTGGAAACAACTCTTCTACTAACATTTTCAGGTGGAAACCAAGTTTTAATGTCATGCTCAAAAGTCAGAGAAGAGTAAAGCAGGCTCGTTCTCTTGATTTCATCTAATCCTTAACTTCATATCATGCAGCATTCATGTGCATTTAGCAGTTAAATACCATTGAATGTATCACATTATGGTGTCACTAATTGTTCCATTACTTAGCCTCTGCATGCATAATTTAATTATTTGAACCAACCATGAGTTGCAAAAAAAAAAAAGAATCGTTATCAATTATTGCTGCAGCTGAATGACATTTATAAGAAATATGCTTTATAAATTCCCACATCTTTTCGGCTGTTCATCTCAGACTTTTAGTGCTTTGCTTCCTCCTTAATCAGATTTCACACATGTGTTTTTGCTGCTGCTAATGGTGCAAAATGCCACGAGCATCAGAAGACACAGACACCCTGATCAGATTCTTCATCATAAGATTTCCTTAAGGGAAATAGATGGCCCCTCATGCTGAAACAGGCCTAGATGATGCATAGACCGCAGCAGCCATCATCAAACAATTGATTTTTTTCCACATTCATCTCTGATTCATCTGAGCCATGACTAAATGTGAGACGGTGCCTTTTCAGCTCAAGTGTTCAGATCTGGTATTTTCTAAGAGAATGTTTATTTAAAGCTCTTCATCATTGCTTATGTGGTTTCCATTTGCTGAAATCCCAAAATGTGGGTCTGTTTCAGGTTGAGTAACACAAAGAAGCAGGCGGTGCACACAGTGATGGGCATCTGGATGGTGTCCTTCATCCTGTCCACACTCCCAGCGGTGGGCTGGCATGACACCATCGACCGTTTCTACACCTCCGACTGCAGATTCATTGTGACAGAGATCGGCCTGGGCTTTGGCGTGTGCTTTCTGCTGCTGATCGGAGGCAGCGTGACCATGGGTGTCATCTGCATCGGCATCGCTCTCTTCCAGACCTTCTCCATTCAGGCAGGTCACAATGCTGACAAGAACAAGTTCAACGTTCCCACCATCGTGGTGGAGGATGCTCAGGGGAAGCGGAGGTCATCCATTGATGGATCGGAGCCTCTGAAGACGTCCCTACAGATCACTTACCTGATCAGCGGCATCGTCTTCATTTATGACTTTCTGACCGGCTTTCCCATCCTGGTGAGTCAGCAGCTTTTGTTTTTTTACATGAAAGTGTAATTACTGGAGGAGAAGCAGCTGAGGTGATGAACTGAATGAAACACGGGTGGGATGAGCATGCATCCATTTGTGTGAGGAAGCACCGTGCAGCCTTAATTCAAACTACAACATTTCTTATTCTGATTACCTTTAAGTCATGATTCAGGGAGTTAAACATTTCCACAAGATCTGGAACTGCTTTCTATCTCACCTCTGAACCCCCAAACCTCTTAGCGGTCACATTTATGTTTACATTAGACTTTATGGATCATGTCTCTATCATTACGCAACTCTGAGTAATAACAAACAAACTGAGTACCGTTTAAAAAACGTTCACCATATGGTTGCAGATTCTACCATAAGGTGCTGCCATGAGAATAATCTGTCAAAAGCTTAAAAAAGGGACCTGTTTTGGAACAAAGTTTTGTCCGTAAAATGTTTCTGCACAATCTGTAAATGCCACCCGCTAGGCATTTTTTAAAAACTAAATGGCTAACTTCTAAGTCTTAAAAAAAACATTCAGTGATGAATCCAAAACTCAGAGCACGCTGGCTACTTCCTTTCAACATGGAAAACTGTTCAGATTTTGAAAGTTTGTTACTGTTTGCTGATTTTGGAGAACACATTGTGATGGAATTAATTAAATATAAATCCCAAATCCTCGGTATTATTCAGAACACGAGCAACATAATCCAGGTCTAACTGTCAGTTTGTTTCAAACGTCTGGAATAGTCTTTATTTCTGCTTCATATTTCATTTTTTCAGGTGTTGGCTTTGAAAACAGCTTTTGAAGTCATGTAGCCTGTCAGGTTTCTTGTTGGATTAACCAGATCAACAGTTTTTTTGTGGGTCATGAGCTGCGCTGCAACAAACCTGCTGTTTCTCCTTCAGATGAAACAAGAATCTCTTATTTAAACAGCCGAAAGTTAAACTCTTTTGTGTTTGCAGCACCTTCTTCTGGACAGTTTTACTCAGAGTAGAGCGAGTGTTTTACCTCTGATCGAAGAACGTGTTTCAGGTGCAGAGGGAAGAAACATGGAGGTCTGAAGCTGTTTTTATGACCTTATCTAATGAGCTATTTTAATGCATAAAAGCTGCAACTATTGAAATGCTTTGTGTTACACAGAGTTATTGTTTAGTTATGGATGTCAGAAAAACAGGATGTTCAAAATGAAAACAGCTATAAACAGTCATATCATCATCATCATCATCATCATCATCATCATCATCACACTTCATTACTGGACACTATCAGGTCCATAATATCAAAAGAGACTATACAGAATATAACAGGGCAGGACAAACAGATTAAGAGTAAATATGAAAATGATGAAATCAGGCTTCTGCTAAAGCAGTGGTTCTCAGTTAGTGGGGTGTGCAGATTTACAGATTGAATCAATTTTCAAATTTACAACAAAATGAGATGATACTTGAACATATTCACAAGCCTATGTGCATCTTTCTACCAAATATAACTGCAGATGCATTCCATAATGTCCATTTTTGTCCTTTTCCACATTTTATTTTGACCATAGTTTGTTTTCCAGCAGACGTTTTCAGTCTCTTAACAGCCTGTGTGTCTGGATTATCTGCTAAAAGCGGTCCTTCACTCATTTTTAATACATTTGCAGTGGTGTATATTAGGAATGAATGCCTTGTAAATCATGCTCTGTGGAAAGAAGGCTTCAGCCAGTGTAGAAAGTAGCTTCAGACGACATAATTTGGAGTCTTATTTCCTGATACTTGTACATCTCGCCTCGGATTGGTTGTCACTGACTCTGCTTTGCTTTGCACCATTGATGTTTTATCTCCACAAATAAAAAAGCCGTAAGATGTTCTGCCATGTGGCGGTGTTGCTAATGCTAACGGTTAGCATCTAGCCATGCCTTTCTCTGCTGTTTCCTCGACGCTAAATGAACAATAGTCTTCACCAATGTCTGTCAAAAATGGTGAGTCCATGAATGTTAAGTGACAGTGTAGATCTATCAGGCTTTTCAAATCCTAGAGTTTCACTGGCTATTTTCTATCAAAGCTAATGCAGGAAATAGGCATAATTTCACATTCAGTCTGCGTGTTATACTCAGAGTGACCGATCATTTTCAAAAAGAATAAATAAAAAATGGTTTCTCAGTGAATGGCCTCTTAACATTTGCGCATTTCAAATAGCAATGCTCAGTTCCACCAGTAGGTGGCACTAACATGAGATGGAATTTAAATTAGATACACTGATTTGAACATTATAATCTCATAAATGAGAACAAATAAACACATTTTACAGCAGGAGCTACAGGTGTCATTTCAGGTCAATCTGTATAAATCAACAGTGAGTGTGTGAATGAGGGAGTGAGAGAGTGAGAGAGGCCAAAAGAGCACGTCCTAGTATGCTTGCTAGCTCCTGTAGCAGAGATGGCCAGCGCCTAATAGGTATTAAATTGAGGGATGCTGATTGGCCAAAACTACTGTAGTTCTCCCGAGCAACCAAACACGATTGACTATTAAGCTGCAGTGCAGGGGCACTTTTCCCGGTGCCCCAGGAGTGATTTTAATGAGTCTGGTGGAGGAAATTTACTGTTTAATGAGAAACAACTGGTGAAAATGATGAGTAAATAATTCAGATTGCATGTAGGCACACCCAATTAAACACAACCGATGTATTTCTATGTTAATATATTGTAGATTATCTTTAGCTTTTAAGATTTTTCTCTCCGTTCATGTCAGGATGAACGAGCCATCACTGTGCACCAGGAAATCGAATAAGCTTTAATATCTCAGTTCCTAATATTTATAAATCTGTATATTAACTGTTCTCCATCTTCTGTTGTGTCCTCTCAATGTTTTATTTCTTGATGTTGCTAAAGAGATTTATTTTATTACCACCCTGCAACAACCCTACTCCTTGACCCTGTAAAGGTGGTGAGCTTCGCCAGCCTGAAGTTTGACCGCTCCTACAACTGGATGGTGCTGTGTGTGCTGTGGTGCTCCATCGCTCAGTCCATTCTGCTGCCCATGTTCCTCTGGGCCTGTGATCGCTACCGCGCCGACATCCGCATGGTGTGGGAGAAGTGTGTCGCCATCATGTCCAATGACGAAGTGGATGAGGGTGAGCTACTGTTACGTCTCCTTCCTGTCCCTTTCCTTCACCTGATGGTTTGATCCTGTGTATTGGTTGTCAGCTCTGCAGTCTGGTTACCAAAAACACCTAAAAAGAAGAATGAAACCTCTCTGAAGACATGATTAAAATGCGACCACATCATTAGTTTTAAAAATTATGCTTCACTTTGAGAGGAGAGAATAATGTATGATCTGTCTTTGATCTTAGAAATGATGCAGGAAAGTGCTTTATAACTCTGAAGATACTTTTGAGACTATGGATGAGTTTTAATTTGATATTAATGGAAGCAAGAAGTAAGGAGAGAAACTTGTCAAAGTAAAAAAAAAGGTTTTAAATTTCAGATCTAAATGAAAATGTCTGGTTTTGTTCCTAATTATGAAGATATGAGCTATCTGTTCCCATTTTTGAATTATTAGTTAATACATGAAATAAATCACAACAATATTTGCTCGAAATACCTAATAACAATAACAATTGCATCAGGGAACGAAATAAATTCAGCAACTGAAGAAAAGTAATACAGGTGAGACTTTGCAGATGATTTTAGCAGGTTTTTATGAATATAACCACGATTTGTTCCTAGGTAATTTAGTTTCTTTGAAGATTTTAGTTTTTCCTTTAGTTACAGGACAGCCTGAAACAACGACTGACATAAAAAAGACTTACTGCTGTTCTTTACAAGTGAAGCCAAAATAATCCGCTTAAAGCTGCTGCCATCTTGTTTTGTGTTGTCAGCAGAGTAGAGGCGGGGTGATGAAAAGCCCCACCTACTTCCCTATACTCAACCATGAAAGCTTTTTAAGCGTAAATTAAAATTATCAGATGAAAAAAAAATTAAATAAAAAGTCACTAAGATTTTGTATGAAGTTTGTTAAAAAATACAAATAAATACATGATTACAGTGAAACATTTTAGAAAAATAAACAACATGAACCACAAGGAAAACGTCCTCTTAGAGGTAGTACTGCAGCCAGCCACTAGTGGGCGTTTTTGTTCTTCTGTTTCAACTTCCAACTTATGTTCCTGGTCTAGTTTTTATGGATGTCAGTTGTCTATAATTATTGGTCAAATGTTATCATGTGACCTATCATGTGACCTTTGCTGTCAGAAGATCAAACTGAGGGGAAAGTGTCTGTGTGAGGTATCTGTAAACAAATATAGGCTGTATGTATTTATGTATATGGTGTGTAGACTGTCTAAATGCTTTGCTTTGCATGTTGTAGGGCAAAGAAAGTGAAGCATTGTTGGACATTTTTTCTTTCAGCACATTTTGCTTTTTCATTTTATTGCATAGCAGGAAAGTAAAACAATGGGTTAATTTCGTAGAATTTAGTGAAAGTGAAATAAATGCTGCACAGGTGAAAAGCATTTTCATGTCATTATGATGGTCATATTTTCCTCAAGTCAGAAAAAACTCATGCATTTCTGTATTTCTTGAATTCAAATCTACAACAGATCACATAGTTGCTTTTGTTTAATTTCCTTTTTGATGTTTTTTCTTTTCTTTATTCTTATTTATGAAGTGTTGATCCACCTATTTTCTCACTGTAGTTATTTGAAAGCAGAAGTGTTTATTAAGCAGTGCATAGTTGATATCTGACAGTTAGATAAAATAGAAACGGGCCTACATTTTTCATAACAAACACAAATAACTCTTTCTGGCAGGCTGAAAACTACGGAAGCTTATTGCTGTCAATGCGAGGGAAAACATTTGGAGCACTATCTCGAAATAGGGACAAAGATTCTTGTTATTCTCATTTTAATGAGAAATGTTCTCTTAGTAACAACGTATAAAACGTTGCAATGGGAAAGTTCCTCATAAAAACGTATTTAAAATGTTGTAATAACGAGAAAGGTCATTACGGTAATATGGCGTTTATATGTGAGGTGTCCTACTCCAAATAGATGAGGCAGTTATTTCACTTCTTGATGTTTAACTTCAGCAACAGCAGTGCCACAACAACAGTGCATACATCAATAAATTACACTTGCTAGCTTTCTCCTCTGCTGTTCTGGAAAACACACTCTGTTGCCAAGGTAACAGACTGATAATAGGTTGTGTTTAATGTAATTATAACAGGTACAAAGCACCAAAAATACCCATAGATTTCCCACACAAAGAGGACAAATCTAATATAATAATGGGGCAAACTTTTGTGTGCATATCACTTTATTAATGTAAAAAGGTTTAAGCAGAAACAGGAAATCACCTTTATTTTGAAAGATGCTCCTCGGCTAGAGAGTGGAAGTACCACAAATTTGCCTAGACAACAGATCTAAGTGATCGTTGACCAACGTGTGTAGGTCACAAATGACTGCTTCTTCCTCTTTATCTTCTGTCTTTGTTTTTTCTGCATATCATTCAAACATTCCACGGGATATCAGCGCGTTAGCATTTAGCACTATCTCATTATTACGAGGTATTAAACACTTTATTTCAAGAATCTCTCATAAATCGACTTTTATATGTTATTATTACGAGAAAGTCTCATTAAAACAAGATTTAAATCACACGATAGTGAAAAACTTTCTCATTATTATGATGTACTGCTCCAATATTTTTGCCCGTACTGACGCCAATCTGCTTCCATAGAAACATTTTTCACCAGGGAATCACAGACACTTTAAATTCTGGTCCTATAATTAGGTCACATGATAATTATACAGCAGACTCATGAACAGGGTCCATGCTCTCCACACTTCTTGCAAACTGATGGCAGCATTAACACCTGTCTTGTTTTTTATTGGGACTGTTTAAACTCAACCCAATCTGAACCCCTCCCCCTTGTTTCTAACCCTCCACACCTTTTGATCTTTTCCCTGTTTCAACACCCTTCCTCAGAACTGATTCATATTATTGTCCAGCAGGAGCTGAAAAACAACACGAGGCAGGTCGTATTCTGTGTGATAATTAACACTGCCAGTTCTCTGCTTTTATTTTCTGTTTCCAGAGCGCTTGCCATGTTTAACCCATCACAGCTGTATGTATAAGAGTTGTTCTCTTGTAGTTTTGGAGCCACTGATTTGCATGCAGAGCTGCCTGTGCAGATAGCTACTCTCATCTTTCATCCATCCTGGCGAACATTTTCCTCAGGATCAACATTTTACATTCATTTCCAATTGACCTGCAATGCACTTAAATGCATACATTGAAATATTTATACCTTTCCAACATTTATTATTCAGAACACAAGCCCTGAGATCATTCTGCAACCATTTTGGAAGATTTTGAAATCAAGCATTTCACCCTTCTTTAGAAAACATTCAATTTACTGGTTATTTTTACTTCCTGAGCTTAGAAAAAGCCAACAAATCAGAGAACAACTGAACTTGTTTCTCTTATATATTCGTCTGTCTGTCTGTCTGTTTTGTGTATGGAAGTCGTTGCTCTTTAATTCTGACGCTCGTGCTTTTCTGCACTTTGCAGAAAACAGCCAAGATGGAGGAATTCATGCTGACTTAATATATGACAGACCATATGACTATAGCTCGGCGCCTGAAATCGTGACGCTAGACCATAATGCCAAGTATGAGTTCTCAACCTTAGAAAGGGGGGTTCTGCAAGGGTACCCAATGAGGGAACAACAGGAAGATAAAATGCAGTATTTGCAGGTATATTATTTTATTTTTTCTTCATTTATTTTATTTTATCAGTTGAATTCATTTAACCTCATTGCTAATATGCATGGTGATGCTATCTCTCTGATTTGCCACTGATTTTTGGCCTTTTAAAATGAAATGAATGAAAAACACACTCAGGCTGACTAATGTTTGGTAAATATGACCATCAGCAGTCCCATCAACACATTAAATGTGCTTCATTTATCAAGTAGTGTGTCCTAGTCATGGACCCACAAGCATCAGTGTGTAGGAGGGTAAGAGTGTCACAACTGACTTACCTTCTACGTTTCAGGAATCCCTCAAGGCTTCAGGAAAGCCATTTAAACATCTGCTCATGATCTGCCTAAAGCACTGTCTTCACTGGATCCAGCATCCATCCCAGTCAGACGCAGAGCTGTGAACGGCTCATTTTCAGCCTGTATTTGCAGCCATACAGCCTTCTGGGACAATTCAAAGAATCACAACTGATTCTGCTCTGTTTTCTGTAACCTGTAAATTCGTATTCACTGAGATTATTAGCACTAAAGGAGATTTAAAAACCAATAGAGATGACTGAATTAACAGAATTGGCCTAGAAGACTTGTTTATTATGTGACTGCAGAATCTGCAAATACAACATGTGCAGTAGTAGCATTTTACATAAATACTTTCTCATCATTGTATTAAACCATTTTAAGCCCCTCGTTGCATGCAGCTTTACTGCAAAAATCCATAATTCTAATTGGCTTAATGCCCTCATTTGAGTGTCCGCTAATGGACACGGGCATTTAAAATGCATGCATAGACTTATATAAGTCTTCTTAATTACAGTCAAACAGAGATGTATACAGTAGCCATCACTCCATCGTTCCAAGTCAACCCTCTCATCATTCTTTGTGTCAGTCACCATATTCACTTTGCAGTAAAGTCAAATCCAGCTGTGTTACGATCAAAGTGGGACATTCTAGAATAAATAAGAACAAATTCTGTTTCAGGACACAACTCTGAGTGGAGCGGAAACCTTCCAGCTCAGTTATAACAATTCTGATTGTTCTAGTTGTGTCATTGCAGAATAAAGCCTCCCTGGTTTTATTGGCTCCCCATGTCCCATCCTGTCTCAGTGTGTCCTTCGTTTCCAGTCATTCTAAAGCTTGTGCTGCTCTCTGCTGTCCTGCTCTCCCACTTAGCACTTCAATGCTACTGTATTCGTCTGCTGTTTAATTTCTCTGCATTTACTGAAAGATGCCACCAGGGGGCAGGCTGATATCAGTCTTGAAGCTCTTGACGTCACCCTGACAAACCCTCAGTCTTTGCGTAGTTGTCAGAGCATAATGTGAGTATAAAATGTAGGAAACTAATAGCTTAAGCTTTTATAATTAGATAATAGAGATAATGTCAGGATCTTGTATCCTGAGGGAATAATTTAACATTTAACGCTATAAAAACTAAATAAATCAGCTCAATAATGCTACATGTAGACATTTTAACATCAACAAAACACACTTTACACCTTTATTTTTCACTGCACTCATTAATTTAATCCAAATAGTCACACAATAAATCTACTACAAGTATGCAACTGTACTTAGAATTTATCCTGATATGAGTAGTGCTTATTTTAGGTAATGGAGGGAAATAAATAAATGTTATATTGTTACTCAGCATGTCACTTATTTATTATATTTAATTAAATTAGCATCATAGCTCATTGCAATCTAAAGCTTTTCTTTTGTATTTTTCCTCCAGGTGCCCCCTACAAGAAGATACTCCCACGACGAAACAGACATGTGGACCAGCGACCGGATCCCCTCATATCTCCAACGATGGGGCTTCATCGAGGACGTGATAGTGACTGCCCATTACAGCTCCACCTTGCCGCGCCGCGAGAGGCGCAGGAGCAGCCTGGTCTCCTACCATGAGGAGAGCCACTATCACCATCACCCTCACCGCAAGCGTCGGCGATCTGAGGACAGCATGCAGTCCTCACTCAGGCACCTGCCCCGCGTGGTATGTGGCGGCCAGCGCTACGATGACGAACTGCGGTGTTTCAGCCGCGACGAGGTGATCAACTTTATAGATGAGACACCGGTGCCGAGCCCCAGGAAGAGCCCGCGGCGTTCGTCCGCCATTGCCCTCAGCCTTACCCCTAACGTGTACGAACAGCACGCCGCCATGCTTCCTCACTTTCCGCTCACAGACTTTGAGCGCGAGCCTCAAGCGCTCAGGCGACCCTCCGAACTCAAAAGGAGCAGCAGCAGAAGCAGCTCGCCTGAGTGTTCACCTAAACCTCCAGGAAAGACGAGCCTCGGGACTTGTGGCTCGGGGAAAGGCTGCAGGGAATGCCCGCGAGAAGGGAAAAGGAGGGATGAAGCGGGCTCACCTGGGCGCAGCCAGCAGAACCCAGAACGTTCTGGCAGTAGGTCCAGGACTGGTGGGGGGGCTGACTGGGGGCACCAAAAGCATCTCAGCAAGGCTGAGAGCAAAGGCAGCACAAACAGTTTTGTAAGCTCACCTTCAGCATCGTCCTCGGGGTACATCACCTTCCACTCTGACTCTGTAGGATCCAACACCTGAAGACAAATCAGCATCAGAAGCACTTTCATCATAATTACATTTAACGTCGTGATAAAAAACTTTGATTATTTCAGCAGTTCCAGGAAGGCGACATGCTGGAATCCATCCGGATTTAGTTAATGCCACGTTTTCGTCTGACTACATATCACAAAGATTCTGAAAGCTTTGGACCTATTTCTTGAACAAGCTTTGATAAAAATGATCAGGATGGAGATGATTTTAGTTCATCCCATTCAGCATTGATTTCACAAAATACCCACTGAACTCTTAAAACCACGTAAACATTCCCAAATCTTGTTTTCTATGTTTGTTTCCTTTGAAAAGATTCAAACATTTTGGTGACACATGAATCAGGCTGATTTGTTTTGGTTATTATTTAGTATGCACTTAAAAGTTTAACTTAATTAGTGCTTTATTTGACCTGTGTTGACCGTGTGTTATGAGCTTTCCTGGATACTGTGCTTCTCCCTTGAGCTTGACAGATTAGACACATTTTATTATTATTTTTTGCAATCATAAAATATGACTTTTTCATCTACACGAGTCATGAAAAGCTGTTTTAAGCACCGTATTTGGAAGTGAAATGAGTGTTAATCCTGAACTATTAAATTCCCAGTAAGTTTCTGTGTGAAAAATTGAAATATAAAGGTGACGACCCGTAATTTTTCATGATAATGTGAGGTAATTTTTTTAAAACATATATGATGGAGGTGTTTTGTATATATGAAGGTTGTTGGATTTACATTTTTAGTGTGCATTTTTTTATTTAAACTTCCTCCAAACTATCTATTTGGTGATTATCAGGCACAGCTCATTCAACAAATATGCAAATGGTGCTTAACCCTCATTCGCTTTACTCACCTTTCATTTGTTTCAGTAACCAGGCGGAGTGCATCACTTGGATATTCGTTGCAGACACTTAAAATGGAAGATTCACAACTTTGTATGAAATATTGTAGCCTTCAAAATGTTTCATATGTAGCGTCACTTAAAGGTGCAATAAGTAAGAACAATGAAAAAATAAAAATCACAAAACAGTTTAATGACTCAATCATTAAAAACAGATTTCCTTCTCAGTTGGCTGGGGGTTGCCAGTTTTTATCCTTTTAAAATGACTAAAAAGGGACTTTGCTTAGCCAATCATATTTGAGCTTGCAAGGTTGCCAAGTCTTTGCGGGCATTTGTAATTCGACACCAGCCGGTAAAGAACACCAGAATGAAAATCAGTTAAAAGGAGCGACCGAGAAGCAAAACAAGTTTTAGTCTAATATGAGATAAAGATGGCTAGAGGCTAACTTTGAGCTAATAATGCTAACAGTGAATTAGAAAAAAAATGGTTGACTCTAAAAAATTTAAGCTACTTTTACAAGCAACTCAATATTACAATGAAATGTATTTATCTGCTTAACTTACTGTGTATGACTCGCCTTCGCTCGTCATCTAGAATCTTCTTGAGCTGATCCCTAACTGGCAACCGTTGCTGATGGCGGACTTGTTTGTTTTGATAAATGGACTGCAGTACCCAGATTTGACCTCATTGTGTCATTATTACTTAATGCACCTTTCAATTCTGGTGGATAAAAAGGAAAGCACAAATTAGAAACTATAAGTTGAACTTCTTTGGTATGTTCTTACTGTGTTGCTTTTCCAACTGCATTGTTGGTTCTTTTTAAAACACAGAAAAGGTTTCTTTTTTACCTTGCTGCTGACAGTTTCATTCGCGGCTGCGAACATCCTCAGAGCTGACGCTGATGGTGGCGTCACTTCCTACTCCATTTATCCACGGGCAGCAGAAGATGGTGTCGCCCTCTGCTGCCCGCTCTCCTCTCTCCGTTAATGCAGTCCCATGCACGATCCAATGTGTAGACCCCATCGTCTCTGTTCATGGTCCCACATCCACGTCTCCTTATCTCTATGGCTTCCTTTATCCATCTTTTGTATTTCTGTGGTTCGGTGTTTATGATCCTTGTGTCGTCCCAGTCCATTACGTGGTTTTCTCTTGTGCAGTGATCTGTTACAGCTGATTTCTTTATTGCGCTTTCTGCTTCTTGTCTTGCTGCTCTTGTGTGTCTTCGACTTGTTTAGGAATCCCATTCAAACTCTGCAATAAAACATACGTAGGAGAAACCGGACGCCAACTCAACACACGAACAATAGAACATAGAAATGGATGCAAGAAAGGAACAAGTCGAAGACACACAAGAGCAGCAAGACAAGAAGCAGAAAGCACAATAAAGAAATCAGCCGTAACAGATCACTGCACAAGAGAAAACCACGTAATGGACTGGGACGACACAAGGATCATAAACACCGAACCACAGAAATACAAAAGATGGATAAAGGAAGCCATAGAGATAAGGAGACGTGGATGTGGGACCATGAACAGAGACGATGGGGTCTACACATTGGATCGAGCATTGGACTGCATCATCAGAGAGGGGAGAGCGGGCAGCAGAGGGAGACAACGTCCTCTGCTGCCCGCGGATAAGCGGAGTAGGAAGTGACGCCACCATCAGCGTCAGCTCTGAGGAAGTTTGCAGCCGCGAACGAAACGTCAGCAGTAAGGTAAAGAAAAAACTTTTCTGTGTTTTAAAAAATAACCAACAATGCAATAAGTTGAACTTGAATTAATATTGTTCCTTAAACAGCAGATCCGTTGCTCAATTTTTCATCACTTATTTGTTGTAGCAAAGGATTATTGGGGGATAATATGTTTGTAAATCACTCCTATAAAAAGAAATTTGCAGTAAATCTAAGAGCAAAAAGTACAAATTTACCTAAATAAAGAACTTCTTGTTTCTACCAAAGTAGTAAATGATAAAGGAGTAAAACCTACTAAAATAAAAAAAGAGACAGTTTGAAGTTTTGTGGACAGTAACTGTTAATGTGAATGTATTTGCACTGGAAACTTTAAACTAAGTTTTAGAACAAAAGGAAGAAAAGATATTCCCTTTTACAGCCTTATTTGTAAAAATCATTTCTTTATTATTACCATAAAATAATGTTGCACTTTGTTGGGCGTGTAAGCTTTCAGTCATCTTGCATCTGGCGTTATATTTTTATTTCCATGTGTTTGTGTACGTTTTGCTAATTTTAGGCTCTGCAATGAAACAAGTTTGCTGAAAAATGTTTTTCTTGGAAAGTTTATCATCGCACCAACATGTTGAACTTTGCTATGACATAAGACCCTTTTTTCATTTAGTTGTGTTTTTATTATTAAAGGTTATTTTGTAACATGTTCAAAAACGGAAACATGAATGATGTTAAATGTTCTGATTTACTTGTTGAGCGGCGGATATTGTGATAAAGACAACTGATTAAATTCACAAGAAAATGCTTACGAGAGTGTTTACATTTCTCAGCTGCAACACTTCATTTGGAGACTAGCCAGTTTTTAGCTAGGGTTATGATACCCTGGTTATCTAGCCTGGCACGCCTATGTGGACCCATACACAGAAAAATGGCACGGAGTCTACAGTTGTCTGTCAAACTATCGCCAAATGCTAATGGAAAACAAACTTTGTGACAAACTCACCGCTATGGATGTCAGTCAGCGGGACAGTCCGCCATTCACTATCAAAGAAGACGCAAATATATCCTATTTCTAAAGAAAGAACTTAAGTACCTTATGTGCTCTTGACTCCAAATAAGCCCAAGTCTAAATAGTCCAAAATTGATTTCAAAGCAGTTTCAAATGAGCTGTCTCCATCTTTGCATTTTCAATGTAACATCCTGCCCACCAAACTCAGCTCTGTGACTGGATAGACAAGACAGTCTGCTGGAGGATACACTGACCACTTTTCACACTCTACTACTTTCTTCTACAATCTGCTCTTTAACTGTATTATTTCCTGCTATTTCAGCTGTTAACTTTATTTTTTCTCTAAGTGTTTCTCTCTCCAGAAGAAGCTACAATGATGTTCTGCTGAGCTGTGGTGGCCTCATGGAGGGGGCCATCGTCTAGCACACTGCTGCTAACCACTTAAACATTCTCCCTCTCCTGAAAATAACTTTTTGCTTTCCTTGACGTTGGATGTGCTACTAATAGTTTACCCGTTTAATTATAGATCCACTAGGATAAATACAATAAAGTTTATCTCTCACCAAGTAGAATATTTACTAAGAAATCACAATGGAACAATAGACACATTGCTTGGTGTGTGTGTGTGTGTGTGTGTGTGTGTGTGTGTGTGTGTGTGTGTGTGTGTGTGTGTGTGTGTGTGTGTGTGTGTGTGTGTGTGTGTGTGTGTCTGCTCTGTCTTCTCGATCCCCAGTGACTCGTGGAGGATGGCTGCTTATACTGAGCCAGGATTCTCTGGAGGTTTCTTCCTGTTAAAAGGGAGTTTTCCTCTCCACTGTCGCCTTATGATTGCTTAATATGAGGATTGCTGCATAGTCGCTGACACTAGTCAGTGACTTGATGCAATTTGCTGGGTTACTTATATAGGAAACATTATTTCTGATTGGCTTAATGAACTGACCTGGATTGGAATGTTTATTATGTGAAGTGCCTTGAGACGACTCTTGTCGTGATTTGGCGCTATATAAATAAAATTGAATTGGATTGAATTGGGCCTGCTGGCTTCTAATGGGGCATGGCTAGACCAACCTGCAAAGCAAAATCATTTTGCTTCTGCTACGACCTGTCTAGGTTTCTAGGCTACTGGTAGTGTTGCTTTATTTAAATAATCCAGGATTATGTGATTAATGTTCAGTTGTAAGAAGGGTGCATCTCTAAGACTGATGCAAAACTTACTTTTGTATCATTTTGGGTTGCCATGTGGGTCTCTGCTGCGTCCATAATCACTACAAATGTGTAAAGAAAAACCCTGTTCTTCTGTTGGTTTAGAAACAAGCCGTTTCAAAAACTCCTCATTTGTGATGTCACAAACTGGGAAATTAGTATAAAACCACCTTTCATGTGCAAGAAAGAGCTGCTACAGGAAGAGAAGTGCCTCTACCCTTAACCCCTCCCAGATATCTGAGCTTCTCAGCAGCCTGTGGGAGGGAGGGGTGGGCGTAGCCACATCCAGGTTTGGTTCTCAACGTGACAGAGCCCCAAAATGACTCATTCTGGAAGGTACTTAAAATGTCCAGAATAAAACTGCTGAAATTGCTTAATGTGAGAGGGATTTGTTGTAAAAAATTTCATAAACATGTTTTGTATCAACCACTGAATTATTATAATTTATGAACAAAACTCCTAATCTGCCCTCTTTAAAAGCAAAAAGACCAGTCTCCTTTAGGATTTTTATATAGAGAGAGCAGAATTCACGGTTCAATCAGATTCAACAAGTAGTCTAGGCCATGATGCAGTAAAGCAGCCCCAATATTACTACAACCACCATGTGGTTGTTGTTGTTTTTTCTGGAATTCAGTTAGTCTTTCTACAGGACACAGCTCTTTCTAAAAAGGTCCACACCAATCTCATCAGTCTTTATATTTTCCAAAAAGGGGAATATTTTTTGAAAAGTCTAAAAAACTGTTTACTGTTTAGTGCCATGCTCCGTGTGTGTGTGTGTGTGTGTGTGTGTGTGTGTGTGTGTGTGTGTGTGTGTGTGTGTGTGTGTGTGTGTGTGTGTGTGTGTGTGTGTGTGTGTTAAGTGCAGCATGCTGCCTGTTGATTTAAAAAAACAGCTTGAACGTGAAATTGTCAAATGATCACCCTCCATGTTAAACCTGGCTAACAAGGTCACATTTATGAGCACTATGCCCGTCTGCAGCGCACTTCATCTGCGTCTGCGCCAATAACTGCGCCTGGCTGAGCTTGTTCTAATTCAAATGAAAGATTATTTCTTTGCCTCTCGTTCTTCTCAGCTCTTGTGTGCGTCGCTATTAACTGAAACAATGTGCAGAAGAGTTCTGACAACTTCTCAGAACACATTGTGAGAGCATTTAGTGACACTTCTTTTATTTTATTAAAATGCTTCCCTTGCTGCAGCATAAAAGAGCAGCTTTGACTCTGTTGGCGGGAGCATTAAGAACACAGCCAGAGTAAAAATTTGATTTAGCTAACATTTCTGGCTTGAAATACCTGGACAGATCATACTTTAGATTTCCATCCATCTTGCGCAGAAGCAGTTTGAGTGGCAGTGTGACCTTTTAGTGTTTGAAAAAGCCGTGGGCGTTTCAGCCATTCTCCTCACGGCAAGGTGCCATCCTTAAGCTGCGCCTCGAGAATGAGAGACACTTTATGACTTCCTGCAAAAGCTGCGTAAGAGAAGCTTTTCAGGGCTGAGTCATAAACCATAATTAGAATCTGACGCATTAAACAGCGCGCTGTGGCCAGCTATCAGTTGTTTGATACCAACACAATGTGTTGTTGATACTGATAATGCGATTCCTGCTTGTTTTTTTTAAAATTAAACTTTATAGAAAACATGGACACTGAACTGTATGATGCATGAAAAGTTGGATTTTATTAGAAAGAAAGGGGGAAAAAGAAAAGAAAAACAAATATATATAAACTTTTGTCTAATGGAACAGCAATCCTCCAAACTATCCAAAGCTCCTGATAAAGAGAAACAAGGCAACAACTCATTGGTAAACTTTATTTTTAAAATAATGCAAACATAACATCATACAAAAGTAAGAATCTATAGTGCAATAGTATATGACTCAGTGAAGTCTTCTGTCAGCTCTACCAAGGTCGCCACACACCGAGCTCCGTGTTTACATCAGCCCTATTACCCACACGATCGAAGCTTCTGTGAGTTTCAGACTTTTTCTGCTCCTGTTTGCTGCAGGACGAATGTCTGTCGTCTTCTCTTGACAGAAAAGGAGAAATGTGTGTATTATGGAGTGTGTGAGCTTCATTGGGTTTGGCTGTTTCCTCCTCCTCGGGTGCGTTAAGTGTCCTCGTCTCATGTGGCTCACTTTGGGCCGGGGCGCTGTCCATGGTGCTGGAGGCTGTCCTAGAGAGGCGCAGCTTGTTGGAGAGTTGCGACAGCATCCAGCGGTCACTCCCGCTCAGGTTTTCAGCCATCAACAGGTACTTGTAGACGTTTGTCAGGCAGCAACGGAAGCCGAGCTGGTAATCAGGGAACTCAGAGGCAGCAGCAACACCTGAGAGGAGACGAGTGTGAAAAACATAAACGATTTGATCAGGAAACGTTGACCAAAACCACATTGTTGGAAAAATCTGACTCACAACTCTGTGTCTTTTGAAGGTTCTTCAAATGCTTTACAGTGAGCTCCAAGATGTCTGCCTTCTCCAGTTTGCGCTTTCGAATCTGAATAAACAAACATAATTAATAATCTTTATTTTTAAATGAACAGCCTGATTGTTTTTTCTCCTGCGCACTCACGCTGCTGCTGTAGAAAGTCTCCAGGAGAGATTTTAACTCGTCTAAACACTGGTTTATGCGAGCTCTCCGCTTCTTCTCCATCAGTGGTTTAGAAACCTGGAACAAAATAACATTTTTATTAAATATGTTCTCATTCTCTTTCTCTGAGTGCTGTTAAAACTCACACAAACCTTGTTTCCAGTAGCTTGTTTGGCCTTTTCTGGGCACTCTGTAGTCGCCACCATTATGTTATTCCTAGTCGTTTTCCTTGAAGTTAATCTGTTTTCTTCTCCGAGCCCACAGTGAGGGAGTCGATCCACAGTAGTTTTATATAGAGACACCTACTTAACATCTCAATGCAAACAGAACCGCCTGTCTCTTGCGCTCAAGTGAGCATCACGCGCGTCATTTAGCAGCCAAAAGACGCAGACTCAGCCAAGATGGTGAGTTTTTTTTAAAACGCGCGTTTTAAATAATCCCTTAAACCAGTTTACGTGCATTTGTTTATTCATTTAATTTGAACTCAAGCTGTAAGTGAAACGAGCCCAATAGTTTAAAGTCACAAATTTAGTCGTTTTTATTGTATGTGAGTGTCTTATTTTAAGTCTGTAAATAAAACGCCATGTTGTTATTATTGTTGTTTATGTTTATGCATTTAGCAGACACTTTTGTCCAAAGCGACTTAAGTGATTATCGGCATGTTGCCCTTGAGGCTAACAACAATAACAACAAAAACAACAACAACAAGAAAAAGAAGTTATTACATGTAGTCAATATAGATCTTAAATTTTTGCCCATAAAATATCAAAATTACAGCCAATTTAATTTCCAGACCACTTCTGGACATATTTACTCTACGATCGACGTGTGGGGCGCAGAAACCAAAGAGAAGCGATAAAATTACGAAGATGATAATAATGGCTCTGCTTCTTGTACAGAAAAAGGCCCTGCTGACTTCTATGTTCAGTCTTTTATATCTAAGTTTCACGCCACCTGGTTGGAGGAAGCACCGTGATAATTCCCCTCATGTCCACAAATTTTCGATTTTCTGCTGCTTGCAGTAAAACTTCTGCATTCATATCCTCCAATCAACAAAACTAAATGATTTTTTAATTAAATATTTTAATAAACTAGATAGATACTTAAATTCTTAACGATGTAAGATGGAAAAAAGCAAAGTTTTAATCCCTTAAAGGATGATTTTACTTTTAAGGGTGATTCTTTTGGCTTTTGTGCGTCATTACTTTTTGTTTTCCTGCCAGGCTCAGTGAGGCACCGAGGAGAATCGCGGGCCGCCCCCTTGTTCTTCGGCCCTCGCCTCCCGATTTTCCACACTGCTCCATGAAAAGAGTTAAGTCTTGGGAAAGCCGAACCAGCTGAAACAATGCGCTGACTTCAGGCTCACTTCAGCCCTCTGCGCATCTGACATTCCCAAAACACTAAAACTAGCCCGAGTTTTGTTTCAAAGGCGAATAACTTTCTGCTGATGGATTTTAGTGCTTCAATGAGCTTACTGGTGTTTGGGGTGGCATGTGCGCATAAAGTTGCTTTAGCTACCAGAGTTTTCTTCCTGTGTCACAAAAGGTGTGGAAAAAAAACCTGTGACCCTCCAGAAGAGAGGGCGCATGAAAGGAGCTCGGTTTATAGCAGTGCCATTGATCCTTTGCGCTGTCTCCCTGCTGGTTCCCTGCTCATAAAGACTGTTATACCATTAATAATTTAACTTTACCCTGGAAATCGTATCAAACTATGCCCTTTATTTTATTACATGTATAAAAATCGGAATAATTTTAATGTTTTAACATAAAATAAGTCTGGCTGTTTCCTGTCAAGCATGTCAGGAAACATTAATTGCGTAAAATGTTTGTGACCTAACCGGACTATCAGGTTTTAATCGGTATGAAATTGTGTAACTGGTCTCTCTGGTGTCTTTTGTCCTATCTGTGCACCAGATTATCTCGCTTTTTTCACGCCTGGTTTTCATCAGGGGACCGTGGCGGGCTGATTTCAGTCCCCTGTCTTGTTACCCCACGCCACCCGAGGAGAGATTTCACCGCTGATTACGCGCCATAATTTTAATTAGTGTTGGCCCTTCTCTTTGCGTCGGATCAAAAGAACCAAGAGCAGAGTCCGGGGTTGCTAACGCGTGCTCTGCTGCAAAGGACATCACTTCGGGTCTGTCAGAAACTGTTGTGCCATCATCTGTCCAGAAGAAAGGCGCAGCGAGAAATGTGCGCGTCAAATAGAGGCGCTAACGCCAGCGCTGTTTCATATGTTTATAAAAGGGAAAAGGCCTTTTTCTCCACTTTTACTCTTCAGCTGCAGGTCATTCATTAACCAGATCGGACCTTTTGTCATGGACTCCCACTGGAGGAGCCCCGACAATGTTGCTGTAATAATTGGACCATTGAAGAACTTGTTTACAACAATTAGTGAGGCAATTATGCAATTACTGCAATAAACTGTTTTCCTTCTAAAAGGAAAATGGATGCATTTGCAAGCCAATGGGTTAGAAAGTTAACATAAAATGTAGATTGACGCTGATTCACTAAATAAAGCACGTTTGTTTTGAGGTTCTTCATATTGTGAATAAAACAAAAATATAAACATTCTGTAGATATCCCTGAAATTTAAAGTCTTTTGTCTGTATCTGCGCACTATGCTGATGCACACTATAATTTGGCACATCGAGAGCGGAGCAAATTGACGCACCGCCTTCTATTCAGCTGAACTCGAGGTTGCGCTGGTGTGACCAAAACCCTCATTGTGCGCAACAAGCCCCGAGCATGAAGAGGAGCAGGTAGATCAACAGGTGTTTGGAGGAGAGGGGGAAAAATAGAAATATTGACACAATTTCATGAAAAGCCATGCACGCGACGGACGCGCTGACGAAGCTGTGACCAGAAGATCAAACAGAAATGGCATCATGAATTTCTATAGACTGCTTCTGGGGTTATTTAAAGACTTCTTACTTTGGTGTGGGTACACAATAAGCGCTGTTTGCCTGTGTGCGCCGGGGTTAGCGCATGAATAGACCAGAGGCGCACATTAACATCGCTTAAGGTTTTCTCAAGAGCCGAAATGAACTGACTGGAAAGTAACTTTATAACTCGCTGGAGGATGGAGCCCTTTTGTTGGGCTCTGAACTGAAAGACACAGGCGCCTGACAAAAGGGGCGCGCTATTGTTCAAGACTAAAAAGCGCACGGGCATTGATGCGCCTTGAATTGTTAAACATCTGCCATTTATTTGGAGGGACTTGAGGACGATCTGAAAGGGGAAAACACAAACACTGACTCTAAACTTGCACAACAGGCATATGAGCAACTTTAGGTTTGAGTTTAGAAATTCATCTGGATTTACTTAGATTATTATAACATTCCGTTTTTTTAATTGGTAATTAGACCTTAAGGGAATTTAGACTATTTGATCCATATGGCACCAGCTTTGTTTTCATTTTTGGCTTTTCTCATGGTTTTTCCTTCATCTGACAAAGTGGAAAATTGAAAGCTACAAGTGAAAAGCCGCGGGGCGTTCCTGATACTCCTCGCTCTGTATTTTCTCAAATAAAAACCCTATCTGCTCCATGTGCCAATCACAAAATATTGTTTTTATTTGTAAACTTATAGGACGTAAAGGCTGACAATCTTCAACATGCTAGAAGATTATTTTATATTTAAAATCATTTTATGACTTTAAATCATCTCAGTAGATTCATCCAGCTCTCAGGTGGGGTTCGCGCCATCGTGTGCGGCGAAAACAACTCTGAAATTGCTATGAAATTGTCAATTTGTTGGTGTCAGCGTTCCGCTCCCACACAGTGCCATATGCCATGCTAAGTGCACCTTCTCACCAATTCGTTCCTAGTTTCACGGTCCATCCTCCCATTTTCCCTCGTGCCTGGAAGCTGAAAAGCCACAACAAAATGACAATTTGGTCTGTAGAAGCAGCCCGGACCCCCTGCGGCAGGGCCCTTTCCGCTCCGCGTCGTGGGGGCGCACCAGCCCACTGCGCGTCGCCGCGGGAAGCTTTGGCTTTTCAAATAGAGACAGAAATGCGTGCCTTAGCACAGCGGCCGGTTTTAGAAATACATATAAATGACCCTCTGATCCAAAAGGCACGTGGTGTTTACAGCATTAAATGAAGCTCTCAGTAAAGAAAAATGCTTCTTCATATTTTCTTTCAATCTCTGTTAATCACCCAACCAGGATTTAACTGAATAACCCGCAGAGATATTGTTTTGATCAAAGGACAATCTGAATATTTAACATAATAATTTTAAGTAGTCTGATAATTTAATCATACAGCTTTTTGCGAAACCCTGCATCCTCCACACATTTTAACCAAGGGGTCCACACCACTCTGGCCCTCAAGTATCATAATCCTGCAGGTTGCCCTAAATAAGTTTTTTCTGCAGTAAGTCCTACGGAAGCCTGCTAAGGACCCAATCATTTAAATAAAGTATGCTGAAACAACAGGCACTGACTGACAGCTTCTGCTGCAATAGTTCTCCTTTTAGCCCATTGTGCGGTTTCACATTAGATAACAAACTACAAAACTGTAAAATGATTTTTCTCTCTTGATTTCAGATTTAGACTTTTCACGCACCATGAGAACATTCAAGTTTAGTTGAATTGCATCATTCCTTTTGAAGCATCATGAGGTCATTTACAGCTGCCTAAAATAATGTAATTACTAAAGTTCAACTACTTGATAAACTTGGTGGGAAGTTGTTTACACTTTTTGTAAACTACTATAGGTTTTATGAAGGGGGGGGGGGGGGGTATTGTTCTGCTATCTTGTGTTTCTCTTGTTAGAATTGCTCTGCTGTGGTTTTGTTCTACTTTGTAGAGGACCCCCTTAAATAACAAAATGGTTGATCCCAAGAGGCTATATTCTTCTTAAAAGAGACATGTTACACATCTTGTATTTATGTAAATCAACTGTCAAACAAGAAAAAATGCATTTTAATCTTTCTACTTTGTTGGTGTTTATACATTCTGAATTTACAGTCCTTTTTGGTTGTGTAATCTAAAAATGAAATTTGCTAATCCTACCATAGTCATTTATAAGCACATAAATAATTAGAAGAACACAAAAACACAACTGAATCACCAAACAAATTCAAAAAATCATTGCTACATTATATCTTCCCCAACCATAATGCAAAAACAAAGGCAAACATTCTGAAAATGCAATAAGAAAACCTTCTGAACAAGAATTAATGTTCAGGAACAAAAAAAAAAAAAAAAGGATAATCAGGTAATTGTTGTCATGGTCTGCGTCTGCCCCTTCATTCAAGTGCCTCCTGGTCTCCTCCATCCCTCTCTAGATTCCCTTTTAAGTCTCATAGCGCCCTCATGTGTCCTTTGTCTGCATCTCATTTATGTGTTTTCTGTTCGTAGGCATTCGATCATCCCCATCCCCTCCAGTTGTAGCTCCAGCCTTTTTGCCCCCCAGCTCTGTGTCTGTGTGGGTGTGTGCGTGTCCATTCCCCAACTCAGTGTGTGTGTGTGTGTGAGTGAGTGTATGTGTGTGTTTGAGTGTATTTGGGTGTGATTGTGTGTGTGTGAGTCCTTCCCTCAGTCTTTTAGTTCAGTTTTGTGTTTATCTGCCCTCCTTTGGTTCTGCTTCCCCATTTAGATAATTGTTGTCACATGTCTTCTCTCCAGCCCTCACTCCACACACCTGCTTCCTGTTTCCCCTAATTGTTCCTCCCAGTCTATTTAAGCCCGGTCTTGTCTTTGTCTTGTGTCGGTCCATTGTTTGTATTCTGTCAGAGTTTGTTTGTGCTCTTGGTGAGCTTTGTTTCTCCTGTTTTGGACTTTAGGCTCGCTGCCTTTTGGATTTATTTTGTTCATCCTTCAAGAATAAAAGATTTTACTTTACATCATCTCCTGCCATGTGTCATCCTGGGTTGCTGTATATTTGGGTCCTAAACATCCGCAAAACGTGACAATTGTGATGAAGGCCTATTTTAAGCTTTAAGGTACCATATAAATGGAACACTTAAAGACATTTAAAGTGGTTTCTAATACATTTACAGTTGTCTCTAAGAATTATTGCCTTGTAAGTCAACGCACCATTGTACCAATTTCAGGAACTAGAAGTGAGCCAGATCAGAGTTGAGCTGAACAAGGCAGGAGTTGGAGACTAACTTCCTGTGTCATGACTTGCGGGAGGCGTCTAACCAAGACAAGCAGAATCAACACGGGAGGTAAGTAAAATTAAAGTCTTTTATTTTGAGAACGGGAACTAAAGGTGCACTGGAAGTCCAGTGAGTAGGGTGCCGTAAGGCGTTAGTCCAGAGTTTGAGCTCAGCGAGCAGTGGGGCAGGTGATGAGCCGAGGTGAGCGAGGGCGGGGGTCCAGCAGAGCGGGGATGGTGAGGAAGCGGAGAGGAGAGGAGAGGAGCAGGAGCCGTGGAGGAGGATGGGACATGGTCCTGAAGATCCGGGGTTCTCGGTGGAGTCGGTGAAGGAGATGATGGTATTCCTAAACGGTGCAAGTAGACAGGGGTTCAGAGGCAAATCCAGTCATAATCCAAGAAAACAGTCCAAGGTAAAAAAATCCAATAATCCAAACACGAGACGTCAAACGAGCGAACAAGCGAATACGAGAGGCTGGAGCTAACCAAAACTGTAGCAATCATCCGGCGTCGAGTGGTGTCTCCATCCTCCTTTTATATCAGAGCCTCTGATTACGAATGCAGCACAGCTGGTGTCCCCTCCGTTCCTCACCTGTGGAAAGAGAGCCTCAAAGATGGTTTAGTGAGGAGGTGCACTCACCTCGGCTCGTGGATAATGACACCCTGATATTTGGACATCTCACCTCTGATTGGCAACACAGTCAGCAACACAACGCTACCACTGACTTTGTTTGTCTGAAACATTGATGTTTTATCTCCACAAAGGCCTGGAGGAGTTCTGCTGTGTGGTGGAGTAGCTAATGCTAGCAGTTCTCTGCTGTTTCTTGTTGGCAGGAGGCATATAGGAGACTAGTAATCTAGAAAGCTTAATCATTCAGAAACACACTACAGCGAGGCTTGAATAGAAAAGAATAGTGCTGGCAGCTACTGGCTGACTGTTTTGGTATAGTTCTGAATGAGGCCTTGGAAGTACTGCTGTGTGTTTTTGTGGGGCTGAAACAAGATGATGTAACATTTTGGGAGGAAATACCACAACAGATACAAGTACAGGCTAGAGAGCACAGCAAGAGCATTAAGAGTCTGGATGTGTTTTCCATGGTAGAGCATGTAAACAGTCACAAACATGATCCAGGTGACAATCAGCAGCAGGAGGCAGAAGGTAATCGCTTTGGCTTCATTGTAATTCTTTGGGAGGTCTTTCCCCATGTAGGAGAAAATAAAGCAAAGCAAACCCAATAAAGCAAGTAGAATAAAACTGCAAGAAGTGGCTTCAAGGTTCAAATAACAGAAAAGAACAATTTGTTCTTGGTACCACAGTGTTTCATTGTAGGGTCTTGGAGGATCATAGGAAAAGCTAATAATGAGTAGCAGGGCCTGAGTTGTAAACGCTGCAGTGATGAGCAGCCACTGTCCCTGGTACTTGGTCCACCAGCTGAGGAGTTTGGGAAACTGGGCAGATATTTTGAAAATGAAAACAATCTGAAAAGAGCGCACAAAAAAACAAGCCAGACAAACTGTGTAGAACAAAAAGAACGGAAAGTACCTCAAGAAACACGAAGCGTCCGTGGGCTCGCCAAAGTAAAAGAACACACAAAGACTGCACAGGTTAAGGCAGCCTAAAATCAGGAAGCACATGGGTCCTCCAGCAGACCTGACAACAGGTGTGTTGTAGTTGATGGCGAATAGAACAGACACAAATAAAGTCAGAGCTACCAGGATGCAGGCGCCGACCATGATCACCACGGCACATCCGTCTGTTAAAGGTACGAACTCCACCAGCCGCAGATTGCAGGATGTACTGCCTTCTGCAGACCACTCTGTCTTCTCACAGCTGATGCAATTAAAGGGATCTTCTGTAGGGAGTCAAAATCCATATTTTAACTGAGGATATCATCCTTGGTCTTGTAGTTTATATTTTTATGAGGCTCCAAAACATCAATCTCAGATTACAGGTCACTGTAAAACCAAGATCATTTGGTTTATTATTTATTTGTACCTGTTACATTGATGTAGGTTCCATTTGGACAGATCTCACAGCTAAAACAGCATCTGTGGTTTGCATTTTGCTTCCTTACATAACCAGTAGAACACTCTAGGGAACATAATGAAACGGGCACCTGTAACAAAAACAACAAATGAAAATAAATAAATAAAATTAATACAAGTCAAAAGGTGTTAAAGAAGTCTTCCCAAAGTTAACCCTATGTCTAAATTAGTAACAGAAGACAGTCAACACTGCATGTTATAAGTCTAATATTCTACACTAGTGCGCTAGCATTTTAGATGAGCTGGCTAGTCCCGCCCCTCATGGTGCTCTCTGTCTGTGGGTATCCAGACCCATCCTCTGTGCAGAATAGACAGAGGCCTGGCTGATTGCATTTATCTTTAACAAACAAGAAATGAAAAACAAAATGTATATACCATTGATATAAAATTATCTATCATAAGAAAAACAAAACAAAAAAAAAACCCTCACTGTTCCGTTTGTGAACCAGAGAATTTCAGAGCTGTTGATAGAAAGATTCACTGTTGGAAAAAATCTAAAAGATCCAATCTTCTGTGCGTCACCGCTGTGGTTCCAGTAAACCAGCGAGTACGATCCAAACTTGAGGTTGCCATTTTCATCGAACTGAATAGTTCGATTTAACAATGTGAAATTGGACTTCTGTAGCTCTGCGAGAACCTGAAGGAGGCAAAGAAAATAGTTTAGTACTTGCTTTATTTTATCCACAAGCTTCCCAAATGTTACTCCCAACTGACAAAGCCAACCCTCAAATCCCATCTCTACAACCAACAAACTCTGGTCTCATCATCCACTTATGCAGGTTTAAAGGATACTAAGTAGTGTTGCATGCTTTTAGCACCCCCTAGTGTCCGTTTGTAGAAGCAAAACATGTCTCCTTGCTGTGCGTTCATCTTTTTAACACCTTAATCTAACAGCTGAAACATCTCCCAGCATTCCTAAGTGCCTAGAGGTTTGATTCATCACTAAATTAAACAAGTTAGCTGTATTCATGATCTAAAACATGCAGGAAATGTGCCAGACGGTAGTGTCAGGTCCCTCAGCAAAACTTTTTTCCAAGTCCCAGCAGTTGTAAGTGCAGTATTCTGGCCACAGGGGGCGATAGGGGCTGGGTGGCCTTTCATTAATCCTGTAAAGGGTAATTTCAGCACATACTGGCTCAAGAAAATTATTTAAAAAATATGAAAAAAGTTTCAAATTGCCCCTTTAAAGTGTTGGGACAACAGCAAATGCAGGAAAGCCCAAACCGCCTTGCCACAGTCACTAGTGGGACTCCATGGCCTCCCAAGCCAGTCTATAATCCTTCTAGTGGGTGCTGGGGTCTCTTTGGAGCAGGACATCCGTAGCCTGGCCTGCCAGACTCCTCCTCTGTTTAATTCTGCACAGAGAAAGGGTCTGTGAACTCTCCAATTCAAATAACCCCACCCCGTGAGAATTCTAACCGAGCCAATCAGCGCTGAGTAGGGGACGTTACACACAGCGACGCTCAGTTTCTCATAAACAACAAAGATAGTCTTAAATGACCTGAATGTCTTTAAAACCACAACAAGTAGAAGCGCTAAAAGCATTTCTTCTGAAACTATAAAAGATGTTTGCGCCGTTGCCAGACGTTTTTTTTTTTTACTACAGCTAAAAACGATAGCGTCGCGCGGTACATTCTGTATTTCCGTCTTTTTTCTGATTGGTTATTTTTGAGCGGCCTAGTCCCGCCCCCCAATTGCCTCTCTGCCCGTGAGTTACCAGACTCTTTCTCTGTGCAGAATTAAACAGAAGATGAGTCTGGCAAGCTAGGCTAGGACATCCAAGCCAAATATCTGAACCACTTCACTTCTTCAGCAGGGAGCAGTAGTGATTCTAACCTCGCCTCTCCCACATGTCTAAGTTTCTTACCCTATCTCTAAGGCTGAGCCTGGTCACCATGTGGAAGGAAATCTGTATTTGAGATCTTGTTCTTTTATTCATTACCCAAAACTCATGCCCATAGTTGAGTAATTGTTACAGGGGAGTCGTTTAGACAGATTTCTCTGCCTTGTGACCACTTCACCTAACTCTAGCCCTCACTCAAAACTTATGAATGCAGGTCAGATGATAGGATGCCAGTGCCTATGACTTAGGCTGACCTGGTACCAAGTATTGATGTTCAAACATGGTGTTAGCTTTGGCCAAACTCTGACTTGCACAGCGTTGAAACAGAAAACACTACTCCCTGTTAATGCCTCTCAATCATGTCCCCTCAGGTCACATTGTAATTTCCCACGTGAGCTTTAAAGTCCCGCATGGACTATGGAACGCCTGGTTGGGGTGTTTTCCAACGCTCAGCAGAAAAAAAATTCTTAAAACAAATCAAATCTCCAATCATTGTGTACTTACCATGTTTGGGTATACTGTAACATTCCTACATCCATTTTCCTCACATTGTAAGGTGTTGTGTAAAGCATGGGCAATGGCATATACAGCAGAATAAACAGGAAAAGAGAATGATGGGTCGGCATTAAGGATAGCCGTAGCATTCCCGTCGCTGCAGTTGCAAACCTGATTACAAAACTGCTGTGAATCATTTTCACAGGGAATTTGGCGTTTGAAGGAATGGATAAAGCCACCAAAACCAGGTATTGTTACTACTGGCTGGGCCACACCAAGCACAGTTCCAATATTTCTGATTCCCTTCATCTTTGGGAGGCGTTTGTTCAAAGACCATTCGTCATTGGCTATCCACACTTTGTTGGTAACTTTCAGCTGAATAGCTGATTCAATTAGAGCTTCAGCATCCACTTCAGGGGCAAAAACAATGATGACGTGTATCTTCTGCCTTTCTATTTGTCTTAATATTTGGGAATAATTTGTGCTGGCACTGAGGTCATTGGTGTACGCCATGCAGATTTCGCTGCTCTTGATTCTTTCAATGAACAGTCCCAGTCCATCAATGCCACAGTCATCATCACTGTTGAGGAAAGCTACCCAACGCCAGTTGAAGTGTTTCAAAATGCTGAAAATCACTTCTATGATGTCTCTGTTGGGATGAACTGTTCGTAAATAAGATGGGTATTTAACTTTATTTGAAAAAACAGACGTTGTTGATCCGTAGCCAACCTGTTGAAGAAGAGCAAGAGAGAATTCAGGATCACCAAGACAAAAAATAAAGTCAGTTAATTAGTTGATTAATAAAATGTATTTTTTAGATAATAAATGAAACAGGTATTCACACAAAAATTATCTCCTATCTTGTACTAGAATGGTGGTTCTCAAACCTTTTAGGCTTTTGATCAGTGGCAGAAAAAGGAGTTTTCTGAGTATGGGGCCATCAAGGGGCCACTAATATTTATAGAGGGGCCAAGCGTTGAGGTTGACTATGGAACACGGACAATCTGGTGAACTCTGGTGTTCAGAGGTGGTATTGCAAAAACAGGACTAATTTTCCAGCCGCTGGGACGTTGGTCCACTGCTGACTAGGGGTTGTATCAACCAGACTTCACTGCTCTGTAGTGACTTTTTATGCCTTTCATAGACTAGTTGCTGTCACGTGATAATGACCGAAAAGATGCAGTCCCCCCCCCATCCATCGGAAAAAGACGCTTGGTCACCCATCATCAGTTTTAGCTGCTTCAGGTGTATGACGTCATCAACAACTAGTCAAAGTCGACTCGATTTTCATTACTTGACGGTCGACTTTAAAAAAAATTAAGTCATGCAGCCCCAACTGCTGACACATTCCAGCACCGTGTTCAGAGACAAATTGTACAGGATAAGGAGTAATTTCTACTAGTAAGTTTATTTTACAACAGTATTAACCGTTAGAACATCTTCTGGGCTCAGAATCAGCTGCTTGACTCGTCAAGTCTGCCATTTTACACAGCCCAGCCTTGTCTTGCTGAGTGGACTTTTAAGCGCAACATTGCCTTCTAGTAGCTGGTAGATGTAAACATAAACAGTGTCGTGCCCGACAGAATAAAACTTTGATTGTTTATCTTTAATGAGGGATCAGGCAAAGAGCAGCCCAAAGACTTCTTATGATGAATAATATGAATGGAGACCGTGTTCCCTCGCCCAGACATGGGTCACCTGGGCCCCCCTCTGGAGCCAGGCCTGGAGATGGGGCACGTTGGCGAGTCAGGTGCAGTGTGTGACAGGTGGTAGTCGAGGGCGGGGACCTTGGCGGTCTGATCTTCGGCTACAGAAGCTGGCTCTTGGCACATGGAATGTTACCTCTCTGGTGGGGAAGGAACCTGAGGTGTGAGGTTGAGAAGTTCCGACTAGATATAGTCGGACTCGCCTCAACGCACTGCTCTGGCTCCAGAACCAGTTTCCTTGAGAGGGGTTGGACTTTCTACCACTATGGAGTTGCTCCCACTGAGAGGTGCCGAGCAGGGGTGGGCATACTAGTTGCCCCCCATCTTGGTGCCTGTACATTGGGGTTTACCCCGGTGAATGAGAGGGTAGCCTCCCTCCGCCTACGTGTGTGTGTGTGTGTGTGGGGGGGGGGGGGGGGGGGGGGGGGGGACGGGCTCTGACTGTGGTCTGTGCTTATGCACCAAACTGCAGTTCAGACTACCCGCCCTGTTTGGAGACTTTGGAGGGGGTGCTGGAAAGCGCTCCTTCCGGTGACTCCCTCGTTCTGCTGGGGGACTTTAACGATCACGTGGGCAATGACAGTGAGACCTGGAGAGGTGTGGTTGGGAGGAACGGGCCCCCTGATCTGAATTCGAATGATGTTTTGTTATCGGACTTCTGTGCGAGTCACAGATTGTTCATAATGAACACCATGTACAGACATAAAGGCATCCATATGTGCATTTGGCACCAGGATGCCTTAGGCCACAGCTCGATGATCGACTTTGTTGTTGTTTCACCTGACCTGCGGCCACATGTCTTGGACACTCGGGGGAAGAGAGGGGCAGAGCTGTACGCTACCAACACTATTTACAGTGGGGACGATGTGCTGCTGACCTTTACTCAGGACGTTGTGGATCAGTGGGCAGAATACTTCAAAGACCTCCTCAATCCCACCGATACGTCTTCCAGTGAGGAAGCAGAGTCTGGGGACTTCGAGTTGGGCTCTCAAATCTCTGGTGTTGAGGTCACTGAGGTGGTTAAAAAGCTCCTCTGTGGCAAGGCTCCAGGGGTGGATGAGATCTGCACGGAGTTCCTTAAGGCTCTGGATATCGTGGGGCTGTGTTGGCTGACGCGGCTCTGCAATATCGCGTGGACATTGGATGCAGTCCCACTGGACTGGCAGACCGAGGTGGTGGTTCTCTTATTTAAAAAGGGGGGCCGCAGGGTGTGTTACAACTACAGGGGGATCACACTCCTGAGTCTTCCTGGTAAGGTCTATTCAGGGGTTTTGGAGAGGAGGGCCCATCGGATTGTTGAACCTCAGATTCAGGGGGAGCAATGTGGTTTTTGTCCTGGCTGTGGAACACTGGATCAGCTCTATACCCTTAGGGGAATCCTGGAGGGTGCGTGGGAATTTGCCCAACCAGTCTACTTGTGTTTTGTGGATTTGGAGAAGGCGTTTGACAGCGTCCCTCCGGGGGCCCTGTGGGGGGTACTGCGGGAGTATGGGCTACCAGGCCCTCTGATTCGGGCTGTTAGGTCTCTGTATGGCCGGTGTTAGAGCTTGGTCCGCATTGCCGGCAGTAAGTCGGGCTCATTCCCAGTGAGAGTTGGACTCTGTCAAGGCTGCTCTTTGTCTCCGATTCTGTTCATAACCTTTATGGACAGGATTTCTAGGCACAACCAAGGTGCTGAGGGCATCCGTTTTGGTGGCCTGAGGATCAGCTTTCTGCTTTTGATGATGTGGTCCTGTTGGCTTCATTAGAATGCGATCTTCAGCTTTTGCTGGAGCGGTTTGCAGCCGAGCGTGAAGCCGGTGACAAGACAGCTGAGTCAGGAGGCAAAGCTCTCGATTTACTGGTCGATCTACGTTCCTACCCTCACCTATGGTCATGAGTTTTGGGTAGTGACCGAAAAAACGAGATTGCGGATACAAGTGGCCGAAATGAGTTTTCTCCTCAGAGTGGCTGGGCTGTCCCTTGGAGATAGGTTGAGGAGCTCAGTCATTCGGGAGGGGCTAGAAGTAGATTCACTGCTCCACCACATCGAGAGGAGCCAAGTAAGGTGACTCAGGCATCTGGTCAGGATGCCTCCTGGACGCCTCCCTGGTGAGGTTTTCCAGCCACGTCCAACCGGGAGGAGGCCTGAAGGTGGACCTAGGACATGTTGGAGGGACTATGTCTCTCATCTGGCCAGAGAACGCCTTGGGATTTCCCCAGAGGAGCTGGCCCAAGTGGCTGGGGAGAGGGAAGTCTGGGCCTCTCACCTTAGGCTACTGCCCCCGCGACCCAAATCCGGATAAGCGGATGAAAATGGATGGATGGATCTTTTAAATATAGCTTTTAAAGGAGGAACTACACATTCATTCTGCACACCTCTGAACACCCCGTGGAGGTAATATTTTTTTTAAATATAGCTTTTAATAAAATGTTCCATATTCTAACATTAGTCCAACTTCCTTACACAATATTTCACACTGGAAATTTCTATTTGGCCCATTAGTGCCACTTGTGTTTGGAATTGCATCCATCTATAATCTGATCATCACTCAAAGGACAGATGAATGACATGACAGGGGCACTTTAGAGGGCCAATCAGCAGGAGCATTGCCCCTGTGGCCACAATCCTAGAACTGCCAATGCTTTTGATCCACTAATTAAAGTGTTAGAGTCTCAGACAATTGTTGGTTAAAGTTACAAATAAAACATCGAAAAAAACATCGGCCCACCTATATACAGTATATTAAATTGCAAATAACAACAGTTCACATTTCTTTGTAACGGTTAGAGATAAATATGCCATTGGCAGTAAGTAAATATGAATTATGTGGATTTTTTTATAAACCTCTAATCTGGTCTTAGGGTCTGGGACCTAGCTTTGGGAAGCTTTTGGATTATAAGAAGTATAGTTTCTGTGGATTGAACATGGTTTCTTAGGCACCAAATCTAAGACCAATTCTTGTCTAGTTGACCAAACAGAGCATTGCACTTCAATAGCCTTGCATGCAGATCATGATGATAGACAAAACTGTCCTATATGGTCCAATAAATTCTTACCATAGGAATGAGATCTGCCATGAATAGCGGGGCGACAATCAGAGCCTGGGTGCTTGTTAATGGACCAACAACTGCAATCACTTTGGGAAGATCCTTGTAGCCTTCATACCAAGGATGGATCAAACCGTTGGCTGAGATGAGTTTAAAAATATTTGGAAAGCTTAACATGTCTGAGCAGTGATCAAACATTTCATAACCCAAAGTCACATTTGGCAGCAGGCTGGTGGAGTTATTGATTTGCTCTACGGCAAATCTCATCAGCTGAAATCTCCGATAATTTGAGATGCTGAAGGGTTGACTATGGACAAGAAGGTGAGAGCAGAAAGATGTCCAGTAAAGCCAGTCCATGGCATTTGCAATCATTTTGCTTGAAATAATGTTCTCTGTAAAACTCAAATGAAATTAAATTATGATTTAAAACCCCACCTGGAGCAGTCAAGAGCATCCGGTCTCATGTGCCAAACAGGATCACTGACGTGATGAATTTCAAAAAGCCCACCGATAAAAAAATCCCCATCCTGGTGAAACTCTGAAGATGGAGTGGTGCACTGAAAGGAAGCATGCAGAAATATTCCCAGAAGAAAGAGAGATGGAAGAACGTGTTTCATTGTTGTAGCTCTCCACCTACCATGTCTCCTTCACTTGGACTTAAGGCTATTTGTAGTAAGCTGTGACAAATTGGTTTCGGCTGAGCTGTCATTGTCACCTCCATGCATGAGAGAAAGCATGACTTCTGACAAATACATACCTATTAATGGTTGAAAGCGTTTTCACAAATCAGTATGCAAACAAATCTCTAGTGACGCTAAACAAAATTCAACAATCAACATAAACAAGTTTCAAAGAATAATGAAAGCAATGTTTAAACAGCTTCACATTTTTTTCTTTTGGAAAAAAAAAAGCCAAATTTGGAAAAACTAACATTGCTGGTTTTCAAGGTAAGGATGTTAGATATACTGGCATCTAGTGGCATTTTGTACACATTACAGGCAGCTGGGCATAACCCTTTCTCATTTGCCCTTCGTGTTCATTTATGCAAAATTACAATGGCAGCCAAATACAAATACGTTTAATGGCAAACTCCAGAGCCAATATTTGGTTTGATCTTAGCCATGATGATGTGCGCCAAGTCGTGCATACAGGCTGATTTGTTGTGATTTTTACAGGCACTGAGATAATGTAAAAATAGCACTATTTTGAGTTTCTTAAGAAAAAAAATTCATACATCAGCTTTTGTCATGATCAAACCCGACATCTAATCCATCAAATAACCCCACTAGGGTGACAAAACAACACAAACAAGCAAACCCACATGAAGTTATTTCAACAGTTTCAATTAAAAATACAAAAAATAAACCCATTTAATTTACAATATTATGCAAATACTCAAGCCAAGATTTTCATACCCAAAGACTTTGCATACCTCACCATTATCAGTCCCTTCTGAAATGAATGGATAACGATGCAGATCTATAGAAAACCTAGAAGTTAAAGTTCATATTTAGGACATTAAGTAAGAAAAGTAAAAAAAAAAATCGAATAACATTTTCTTTTTTATAGCAAAATATTTAAGTGTGATTAATCATTTTCTGCACACTTATGGCTCTACTTGTTTTTCCTGCATAATCAAATGCATAATTAGCCCCAAGTGAATAAGTGAATGTTAGACTTTAAGTAGTGACACAACTTATTTTTAAAAATAATTTTTGTGTTTTTGTGTTTTTAATGCTGCGTAGATACATTCTAATGTGTCACATCAACTGCAACTCCGTCAAATAAATAACTTAATTTGAACTGAACAGGATTTTGAACAAAGACAAGTGATAAGATATATTACAGATTTTTGCTTAATGTGATTCCATTAAAAAGTACCTCTATGCCAGTGACTGATAATAACTGATATCTAATTAAAACAAATTTCTTAAAGAGGACCAAATATTGGACTCAGAAATAACTTTTGTGTCAGCTTAAGGCCTTTTTTTCATCCTGGTGAAGGTGGTTGACTGTTAAGATCACCATCAGATGTGTGCCTGTGAGTAATTCCACACAAATCTACTTCCTTATGTGTTCTACACCACAGGCAGAATAAATGAGGAGAATTTGCAATTCCACTTACCTTTCAAGTGATAAATGATCAGGGCTTTCACCGGAATTTGAATTCAGCTAGCCACCCAATGGAAGGGCGGAACTCTTCGTTCTCTGTGGTTGGAAGGGAAATGATCTCATTGAGTGAGGTGGATAGTAAAGACTAAAAGTGATACAACCAGTTTTCATTTTGCGGTTTTGGATAGAATGGAAAAACATCCTCAAGTTCATGCTGATTTCAATTATTTAAATTTGACTCAAAAACAGATTTTAAATTGTATAAGCAAATAAAATTTAAACATATTGTAGTTAAAGGTGTGCAGTGGTCTCTAGTAGGAATGAACGCCCTGCAGGCAGAACTCAGGGTACTAAAAGCAGAAACAGTCAGCAACATCAGAGCTGTGCTTCAAACGGGAATTTGGAATCTTATTTCCTGACCTTTTGTCTCGGATTGGATAGAAGCCACGCAACTCTACCACAAACTCAGTTTGCTCGGGGACATGGATGCTTTATCTCCACAAATAAGAAGTCTGGAGGAGCTTCAGCCATGTGTTTGAGTTGCTAATGCAAGCGGTTAGCTTCTGTTGAAAGAGATATTCTCTGCTGATTCTGGAAGCTAAAACAACAGCCTTCCTCGTCGTGAGTCATTGTGGGTAAGTCCAATTCACAATGTGACGTAGAGCGGCCAGACTTCTTAAATCCTAGACTTTCACCATCTATTTTATTATCAGAAGTTAATGCCGATAGGTCTAAGAGACTATTTTCATGTTTAGCCTGCATTAAAAACTCAAAGTAACCACTTATAATAAGAAATAATCACTTTAAAATTGTTTTTCAGTCAATCACGCCATTATTAAAACATTCATTCAGTCAAACTGCTGCTGGATCAGTTCAATTTAGTAATTTTTTTGTACATTAGCTGATGTTTGTTTTTGTGATTTTCTTCATGGATGATATCTGACTGTTCTGACCTCAGTCTGCAGAAAGTTCACTTTGATATTTAATGGATAAAGACCTCATGTGAGGAAACAGGAAGCACTTACAGAAAAAAGTCAAAAGATGCAAAGATAAAACATAAAAGCACATTTTAACACAAAAATACAAAATCTAAGTGAAACAAACCAACATTACAACAGGAATCATAGATCAAACAAGTCGATGAAAGTTTAAAGAGTCCTTTTTATTTTGTGAGGGTTTAAAGTGATTGAACACACAAACACAACTAACATTAACAGTATGGAGAGCAAAAATCCTAATTAATAAATGAAAAATATCAAATTAACATGTAAAAATGGTCTAATTTCTATTTTAAATTTTTTCCCCTGAAGTACCATAACATGGTCTAATTTCCCGGAGCACTGCAACTCAATTTTTTTGATAAACTCAAGATAGTCAAATTTAGGTAAGTTTGGACCAGTTCATACAGGACCAAAGGTCATGTGACCAGACCAGTGATAAATGAAACAAAAAGGAGAAAAAGAAATATGGTTTCAGTTGTTTCTAACTGAGGAAACCATCACATGACATACTTCAGAATGAATCTTAAATCTTAGAACAACCATATTCATTGCAAGATTATCTGAAAGGACATCTTAAAGCTGCTATAGCGAATCTACACAACAAGCTAACACAGTCACGGAACACGCACCCCTCCCCTCGGGTATCTTCCCTGAAAAACCAAAATTACCAGAGGAAAAGAGAGAGAGAGCGCTAAACACTAATCGTCGTTTTTGAGGTCCAAATGTCTTTTGTTGTCTGTGACTTCAAATGATGTTTTTTCCAATAGCTGAAGGGGTAGCAGCCAGCTGTTTCTCCTTCTCTGATATTATTGAGCCAAGAACCTCAGAGACCAACTGATGATCCAGCTTTTGCTTTCGGTTCCAGCCGTGTTAATGGCTGAAGTTTTTAGACAAATGCAAGAGATCCACTTAATTTTTTTTTTTAGTTTTTTAAAATCTCCGCAATATATTTATAGCTATTCTATGTTTCCAAATTTGATATAGCAGATTTAAAAGCATGCATCTTCTTCATAAGGCTCAGTTTTCTGAAATTGTAATAGACTTGCTCAATACAACTCTTGGGTTAAGGTTATGATTACTGGACCGGAAACTGGACCCAGATTACTTTTACTACTGCTACTGGCTTATTGTTTTGGTATAATTCTGAATCAGACCTTGAAAATACTGCTGTGTGTTTTTGTGGGGTTCAAAAACAATGATATAACATTTTGGGAGAAAATACCACAAAAGGAAAGTGTAAAGACTTAATAGCACTGCCAGAGCATTAATGGTTTGGATGTACTTTCCAAAGTAGAGCAAGTACACAGTAGAAAACAAAATCCAGGTGAGGATCAGCAGCAGGAGGCAGAATGTTATCACTTTGGCCTCGTTGTAATTTTTAGGAAGGTCTTTCCCCATGTAGGAGAAAACAAAGCAAAGGCAGCACAATAATAAAAGTAAAATGAGAGAACACGATGTTGCCTGAAGATTCAAGTAACAGCCGAGGACAATTTGTTCTTGTTGCCAAGATGTTTCATTGTAGGGTCTTGGAAGATCCAGAGACAAGCTAATAATGAGTAGCAGGGCCTGAGTCACAAACGCTATAGCGATGAGAAGCCACTGTCCATGGTATTTAGACCACCAATTTTGGAGTTTTGGGTACTTGGCAGCTATTTTGAAAATGCAAACAATCTGAAACGAGCGTACGACGAAACATGCTAGACAAACAGTGTAGAACAAAATGAATGGGAAGTGTCTTACAATACAGGAAGCCGATGTGGGTTTACCAAAGTAAAAGAATACACTGACGCTACACAGTCCAAGACAAGCTAAAATCAGGAAGCACATTGGTCCTCCAGCAGATCTGACAATGGGCGTGTCATAGTTGATGGCAAATAGAACAGAGATACTTAGGGTTAGACCCATTAAGACCCAGGTAAAGAACATGATCACAATGGCGCCACTGTCGAAGAATGGTACGAACTCCACCTGTCGTAGATTACAGGATGTGCTTCCTTCTCCAGACCACTCTGTCTCCTTGCAGCTGAGGCACTTAAAGGGATCTTCTGTTTTATGATACAGAGAATTAAATTAGCTAATCAGAAAACATTAAGATGACCAAAATGTATTAAAGTTTAATCCAATTAAAAAGTGGTAAGCATGTTAGTTAAGTAACTATCAAACAGTAACTTCTACATCCAGCAGTATGGAATGATTGCCATAGGGTACCCAGCAAAATGATCTGAAGTGGCCACAGACTAGGGAGCGTCTGAAACCTGATTTATACTTCTCTGTGAGCTCTGCAATGGAGAGATGCACATGGGGTGTTGGAAAGGTTTTCAAATTCGAACTTTTGTGCAGGCAGCAAAGTGCTGCAAAAAAATTCCCTGCCAGGACAACAGAGAACATTTTCTGTGGTGTCCTGACTCCATAACACTCATGTATCCGGTCCACGAAAGTGTATTTACTAATGTGTTTACATAGTTTAGAAATGTTCCAACACAGACACATTTGCCCTTTCTTCTCCTCCACCTCTTCATGCGTTCGCCACCTCTAAACCCACATTTCCTGTCATTTCCATCTGCGTTTGCTCTGAATTTTGTACTCCTTTAGTCACGGGTGAATAAATGTTCATATTTTTGGACTTTTTCTGCGATGCATTCTTTAATGTGTTCTGGGTCTGCCATTAAATATCTTTTTACATTTAACGGGGCAATGGCGGTGCTGCTGACAAATTTAAAGGAAGCGGTGTCCTGACCATACCATACCATACCATACCATACCATACCATGTTTATTTATAGAGCTCATTTCAAAACAGCATGACAGCTGACCAAAGTGCCGTACAGCAGGGAACAGAGGAGCTTCGTAAAAAAGAAATAAAATCAAACAACCTAAAAATAAGATTAAAAATAGATAAATAAAAGCGCCATCGGCACTAAAATAATGAGAAAATAAAAGCAGGGAAAGCACAGAATAAAACACCAAAGGCAATCAGTCCTAAGATATAGTAAAAGTAGGTCAACGACCAAAGGCAAGGTGATAAAAATAGGTTTTCAGTGCCGACTTAAAGCCTAGTGGAAGGGGCCTGTCGTACTTGGAGGGGGAGGGTATTCCAGAGTTTGGGGGCAGGGAAAGAGAAGGCTTGCTCACCATGAGATTTGTAGTGCATCTTCGGGATGCACAGTAGTAGCTAATCTGCTGATGTAAGGGATCTAGAATGAGCATACGGTTTTGTTAGTTCAACGAGGTAAGTGGTGGTTGGGCCTTTCAATGCCTTATAGAAAATCAGTAGGATTTTGAACTGTATCCGGTACTGCACAGGTAACCAGTGTAAGCGGGCGAGGATGGGAGTAATGTGACAACGTCTGGAGGTATTTGTGAAGAATCTAGCTGCAGCATTCTGTACTCGCTGAAGACGCTCAATAGAGGAGACCTTAACACCAATGAGCACCGAGTTGACATAGTCCAATCAGAAAACCAATCACAAGCTAGCGGTCTCCATCACTTTTGACGAATGTTTAAAAGTTTGGCTATGCTCCATCACCCTATGTGAGCCCGTCGGAGAGTCCTTGCGCAGACGCATGATGGCATTGCACGTCTCCGCACTGACGCAGAAGTTTAAATCTGGCTTAAATCTTAATGGGGGTGGGGATCTTGGGTGGATGGGGGGTTGGTTTCATGTTCCCTGGCTTAGGGGAGAGAATGTGAGATGTTCAACCCAGCTGTCAGTTGACAGCTTTTCTCATTACTGTTGTGGTTTTGACTTCAAATTTTGTCTAGCCTCCTTGTGGCCTGGAGGATCCAAGCAATTGCCTGCCCTGCCTGTTGGCATGCGGCGCCTCTTTCTTCATCGAATGGCTAGTGGTGCTTTTCATTTTGTCCCTTATGACCTCAACAAAAAACAAAACGAGGCAAGCCCTTTATTAGTCCTAATCCTTCCTCAATGTGTAATCACTTACCTGTGGTGTTGATGTAAGTTTCAGCTGGACAGATTTCACAGCTGAAGCAACATTTGTGGATTCCACTTTGTTTTTTTGCATATCCTGCTGAACATTCGAGGGAACAGAATGCAGTCGGAGCCTGCATGAGACGCAGAAATAAGAAGAGTAAAAGCATGGTGGAACCATGACACTGACAGTGAATCGTTGTTATTAAAGTAGTTTACCTAAATGCTTAAAATTTTAAGTTTATAGCTCAAAAGTGATGCCAACAAAGAAATTAAGCATTGAATTATACAGATTAATAACTTCATGATAATTTCAATCAGATCTTTGCACAAAAAAGAACGATGGATTACTTCTCCATTTGTGAACCACTGAATTTTGGAATCGTTGATGTAAAAATGAGCAGTTGGTTCAAACTGATGGAAGCCGACTTCCTCTGCATCATTGCTTCTGTTCCAAAAAACAATAGAAAAGGATCTGAATTTAGGGTCGCCGTGCTCATCAAACTGCACCCTCTGGTTTAACAGGGTAAAATTGGACTTCTTCAGCTCTTCTAGAACCTAACATGGACAAGAAAACGTACAAAAAGACAAACAAAAGCCAAGTAAGATAGAGCTTGTTGTCATTTATGCATTTTTACAGAGGACAAAAGAACATCAGCAGCTGAATAGAAGTGGAGGCCCTGCTTTCCATACAAGCATGTCTCAAAGAAACTGAGCAAACAATATTGAAATGCCAGTATTTATAAAATAAATTATGTTGCAACTTGCAAGAGAAAAAAAAAACAATTTTATCCAATCAAATCTGAATTACAAGTGACTATACTCACCATGTATGGGTGCACTGTGATGCTGTTGTTACACGAACCAGCTCCACACTGTAAGGTGTTGTGTAAGGCGTGAGCGATGGCGTACACGGCAGAATGAACGGGGAAGGAGAACGAGGGATCTGCAGCAATAATATCCTCAACGAGCAAATCACTGCAGTTGCAATCCTGGTTACAAAACACTTGCTGTGCAACTTTGGTGAATGCTGCATGGTTTTTACTGGCGTGGAGGAACTCATTAAAGCCAGGGATCCTTATCGCTGGCTGAGTTACACCAACCACAGTCCCAATGTTCTGGATTCCTTTCATCTTTGGGAGGCGTTTGTTCAAAGACCAGCCATCGTCTGCTATCCACACTTTGTTGGTGACGTTCAGCTGAATCGCTGCCTTGATGGCAGCTTCTGCGTACAACTTCGGAGCGAAAATAACAATGATGTTGATGTTCTGTTCCTCGATCTGCTTAAACATTTGTGAATAATCAGTGTTTTCATTGAGGCCCTCGCTGTATGCCAGACAGATTTCTGTGTGTTGAATCCTCTTCTGGAAAAGCTGCAGCCCGTCAACACCAAAGTCATTATCGCTGTTGAGGAAAGCAACCCAACGCCATCGGAAGTGTTGAAGGATGTTGACGATCGCATCTAAAGTGTCGTTATTGGGGTTGACTGTTCTTAGGAAAGACGGGTATTCAGATTTTTTAGAAAAGATTGAGCCAGAACTTCCATAACTGACCTGATAAAAAAAATATTTAATCAGTTGTTGTCATGATAACAATCTGAAATCCAACAAATAAAGATATTTTATGTAATGAAAACAGAGAAGGTAAACTTACTAAAGGAATGAGATCCATCATAAAAAGTGGAGCTATGGTCAAGGTCTGGGTGCTCGTGAAGGGACCGACCACTGCGATGACTCTGGAGACATTCTTGTCTGGTTTGGACAAAGGATGGATCAGGCCGTTGACTGAGATGAGTTTAAATACTCCCGGAAAACTCAACGAGTCTGAGCAGTGATCAAACACCTCATAGCCAAGAGTCACATTTGGCAGCAGGATGGTGGAGTTATTAATTTCCTCTACAGCGAATCTCATCAACTGGAACCTACGGTAATTGGGAAGAAGAAACGTTTTGCTACAGAGAGAGCGAGAGAGAGCGAGAGAGAGAAGACAGCAGTCATTACCCAACTGTTATAAAGGATCTACTTAAATGATTCGCAGGAAATAAGCAGCTTAATCTTAATTTAAAGTAAAACCTGTCCTTAAAGTTTTCTACCTCGCATAAATGTTATTCTAATACTCACCTGGAGCACTGGATGGCCTCTGGTCGGTTCTGATGAGAAGGTACATTTACAGAATGAACATCAAAAAGTCCACCTAGTACATAATCTCCCTCTAGATGAAACTCTGAGGTTGAAACGGTGCATTTATTAATGGGATGTAGGAAAAATCCCACGACACAGATAGCAGCAAGAAAATGTTTCATTCCTCTATTTAATATAAACCAGTCTGATGTGAACTCTACAGAGATTTGACTCAACTTTTGGTGAGTAATGACACACTAGTGACAGTAAAACCTGATAATTTCCATGCTGGTGGTAATATGATGCATATCTGAGGAATGGTTCGATAACAATTCACAAATTTTCATGCAAAAGTCTGAATGAGCTGCCTTGTCTATAGAGCGCTGAATGTAAATATTTGGGAAATTATTAACTTAACTTGATCAGATTTAGCTTAAAAAATGGTAAAATTTAATATGTATAAAGGTCAAAACTAAAAACTAAATTTTGATATCTACGTTGGCTAAATCTTTCGTTTGTGTTCTGTATTTAAAATTGAAACTATAGTAAACGTAATATATTGGGATTTAATTGATTGCTACATTTTTATACAAGGGTCTTCATGGAAGAAAGGTCAACATATGTCTCAGTGTGGCGGTATAAACAATAAAACCATGCGGTTTGAAGCAAAATAGGACAAAAACCTAAATTTGCAATAAAATGTTTTATATAAAAACATTTGAAAGTTTTTAGAAACAGTTACATAAGATTAACAATGTAAAACCACATCCCCATTTACTAACTGATCAATTGTTCTGTGATATAAATGTTCCACTAAACCTAAAAAAGGTTTGTGTTTTCTGCCATCTAGTGGTGATTTAATGTAAAAGCAAGCTGACAATGTGTCACTAAACCTCTCCCAGAGCAGTCAACAGCTTCTGGTCAGGAGAACCACCAGTAAGATAAATGTCAAACAGTTCACTAATTAAATGGTCATTAAAAGGGTCATTTTCACATAATTGTCATTAAGCAGTTTGATGTGAACTCCTGAATTTATTGGAATGCCATTTCCTGTGTTTGTTTCTACTTTTGATGCATGACTTAAGAAGTCATATTTTTAAATGGTTGCAGGAAATTTCCCCAATTAATATGCAAAGACAATCTGAGCTGTATGTTGGCGGGCCAAAAGAATTTATTCTTATGTCAATTCATCAGTTGGGTGCTTGATATTTGTTTATAAAATACTTCTATGAGTAAAAAAGTGACTACTTGCATTCAGATAAACTATTTTGTAATGGATTACACTTAGCACAACCTAGGGTGGTTCATTTAGGATGAAGACACAAAGCAATGATTTATCTTATGTCTTTTTCATCAGTAGGATTTAAAACAACAACAACAAACAAACAAAAAAACCATTGGTGTGTTTAACACTTATATAAATAAGGTATTAATTGTGTTTTTATCTTAATAAAAAGTGAAAAAGATTGTCAGAGGGAGTTCCATCTGTTGCTGACCACAGAAGACCATAGTGTTTCATGTACAGGAAATGTTTCTACTAAGTAACTAATGTTACTTCTATTTTTCTTCCCTTTCTCTATTATACTGATATTCTCCAGATGACAAAAACAAATGGCATATTTTCCAGCTTTACTGAGATAAGGAGGCTAAAACCAAAGGCATGAATTCGTAGATGCTTCATTGGGCACTGGAGAGAGTAACAGAGTCGCCGCCATATTGGAAGGGTCACTCTTTAAACCAACATGAGTAAAGGCAGAATGAGCAACTATGCCTGTTTTCTGTGCAGCCTGCAGTTGCAACAACCGGCGCACTGATGAAAACAGATCACATGGAATCACTATTGACTTTTCTAGTTTAACTGCTGGAATTTTATATTTTAACTTATTATATTTAGTTATATTTATATTCCAACTATCATGCCATATGTCTGAATTTGTGAAAAAAAGCATAACATGTGTTTTTTAGTTGGGTAAACAAAACTTTCCTCAGCAGAAATAAATGAACTGGGGGCGACTGGGAACCAATCCAAGATGTCAGTCCATGGAGCGTTCATGTATAAGATGTCTATGGCTAAAATGTGCTCTATTTAATGGTTTTCTACAACCTAGTTCCAGCTGTTGCCACTCCAGGTTTCCACAAAGTCAAAACATTCTGAGACGAGCTTGATGAGATATTCACTTTTTTGGCTAAGAGAATTCCAGTTTTAGTAATTTGGTGGCTAAGGCAATGCCAAGGCCTGCACATAATGTTATGGCATGACTGAATTAAATGTCTCTGGGGTACTGGCCGAAAACGCCAATGCTACAGAAAATAGCATTCTACCATGCTAGCAGGTATTGTTTTTTATATTAAATATTATACATTTCTGTAGATGGTGGTAAAATTATTTATCTCACAAAATTAACAATCTCTCTCTCTTTCTCTCTCTCTCTCTCTCTCTCTCTCTCTCTCTCTCTCTCTCTCTCTCTCTCTCTCTCTCTCTCTCCATCAACAACTGGATATGCAAACATTATCTTTCAATAAGATAACATTGATATTCAGGATAAATACATAAAGGCTTAAAAACAAAAGCTTATGTTTCCTTGCCAGAGGTGTGGCCAAGTCACTGCTCTGCAAGTCACGAGTAAGTCACAAGTCTTTCCAGTCAAGTCTCAAGTCAAGTCCCAGTCAAAGATAACCAAGTCCAAGTCCTTAACTTTGAATTTTCAAGTCATAATCAAGTCATCTGTCCAATTTTAATTTAATGACAATGATAATAAATAAATTCCAGAAATAATTCTTCTTAAAGCTTCATTTATTTGCTCAAACAAGCAGGAGGTGCGACTGAAACTGATCATAAACAAAGTGCTGCTGCTGCATTTAGCAGAACAAGATCAAACCCAGAACCAAGAACGATTTATGATTTTTGTCCATGTCGTGCCACTTTTGTGCTAAAATATCAAATATGCTCAAGTCATCATCAAGTCAACAGATGCAAGTCGATTCAAGTTGCTAGTCATTGGCGTTTAGGTCAGAGTCAAGTTGTAAGTCTTTATAGATTTTATCGTCAAATCAGAAGTCATTAAAATAATGACTCGAGTCTGACTCGAGTCCAAGTCATGTGACTCAAGTCCACACCTCTGTTCCTTGCCAAGAAAGAGAAAGCATGATGGTTACACAAACAATATTGACAAATTGGCCAAATTCAGGCAGATATTTGAACCCAAAGGGGAGATCTGGTTTTCTGTATAGTGCATAACAAATGTGTGCATTCCTTGCTCTTTCAAGAAAAAATGACTGACAGATTAGGATTAATTTGGGAAACACAAATGTGTCACATAATAAGTTATGTATACATTTAATGTTCAGAAAAACATAATTCTCGTGAAAATTGTCCAAAGATTTATTAATGTGGTTAAAACTAAACTTTTTATGTTACAGACCTGTTTTCCTTTCATTTATTTATTCACAGACAATCTTCCAGTGGAGGCAGTGCCAAACGGCTGTACACTAAAACATATAGTATGTAAAGTTTATTTATACATCACTTATCACAGAAAGAAACTCGCGTTACAAAGTGCTTCACAAAGAACAACTAAACAAATCAAATTTCGTATTGTCTAATTAAAAAGACTGCCATAAAAGAAGATATACAAGAAAACTAGTCTTAACCAACACAGAACCATACAATCTGTTGGTTAACGAAACTATCACCACATAAACCGATGCACTCTTTTGTATACAGCAGACATATTTAGACATTTACTGGCCAGCTGCTTTGGTATAGTTCTGAATGAGACCTTGGAAGTGCTGCTGTGTGTTTTTCTCAGGTTGAAAAATGATGATGTAACATTTTGGGAGGAAATACCACAACAGGAAAGAGTACAGGCTGGAGAGAACAGCCAGGGCCATAAATGTGTAGATGTATACTCCATGGTAAAGTATACTCGCAGTGGCAAGGGTGATCCACGTGAGGATCAGCAGCAGGAGGCAGAACGTTATCGCTTTGGCTTCGTTGTAATTTTTAGGGAGGTCTTTTCCCATGTAGGAGAAAATAAAGCAAAGAATGCAGAGCGATGAAAGTAGAATCACAGGGGCGGTTACACTTTTGAGAATGTTGTCACACCCAAGGATGATTGCTTCAGAATTTGAAACCGTGTCATTGAGTGGTCTTTGGGGGGCAATAGAAAAGCCAATAGTCAGTAAAACTGCCTGAGTGGCAAAAGCCACAGCGATGATCAACCATTGTCCGTTATATTTCGTCCACCAGCTGAGAAGTTTAGGAAGCTTGGCGGCTATTTTGAAGATGCAAACAATCTGAAAAGAGCGCACAACAAAGCATGCCAGACACACGGTGAAGAACAACAGAAATGGTAAGAATCGTAAAATGCAATAAGCCGTTGTGGGTTTATCAAAGTAAAAGAACACACTAACACCACACAGACTGAGGCAAACTAAAATCAGGAAGCACATCGGTCCTCCAGCGGATTTAACGACAGGTGTGTTGTAGTTGACAGCAAAGAGAACAGACATGGCGAGATTCAGTCCCACTAGGGTCCAAACGCCAAACACGATCACTATGGCTCCGCCATCTGTGAATGGTACGAACTCCACCAGCCGCTGGTTGCAGGATGTACTTCCTTCTGCAGACCACTCGGTCTCCTTACATGTGATGCACTTGTAGGGATCCTCTGTTTTACAACAAAGCTCGGTTAATTTTAAGACCATTTACCATTTTGTCTGATACCTGATGTTGTATTTAAATTGAGTTAACCCTGCCTTACACAAAAAATCTTTTAACATCACTAGTAATATGCTGATACAGTTAATACAAGGTTATAAACATTTATCTAGTCAATATTAAAGTGCATTTAATATCTTCCTTTAAACATAGGTTGCCAGCAAAGCCATTCAAGCAATGAAGTGGACGTGGTTTCAAGTATGCCCGAGCCCTAGGGTTGTGAGGACTAGAGCACACAAGAACACTCAGCTAAACTAGGATTTCAGCCCATCCAATAGGAATCAGAGGAACTTAATCTCAATCATCATTTGTTTGTGATTTCTTGCTGGCTTTAGCAAGGAACTCCAGTTTTGATTCATGACTAGTTATGGCTTTTCCAAACCTTGTCCTAATTTTGAAGAAATTCATATTTGCACTCAAAAACTGAACATTTAGACATTCAAAAAACACAATCCTGTATAAAACTATAGCCAAGAATCTAAAAATTAAACTAAATTGTGTCATCATTTACCTGTAGCATTGACATAAGTTCCATTTGGACAAATTGTACAACTAAAGCAGCATTTTTGGATTCCTTCTTGGACTTTTATATATCCACTGGGACATTCTAGGGAGCAAAATGACAAAGGCACCTGTTCAAATCAGAAAAAATAAAATCAGAATATGGCTGAGGTTTGGATTAGACGCATACACATTAATATGTTTGAAACACATAAATGGGTAAAATAAAACAGAAATATCTACACATCCCTGCAAGGTAATGCTCTCTAATTTGTCCTTTTCAAACGAATGTTAGCAGTAATCTTTACGTGTCTAATTGAGAAGAAGAAAAAACATACTTCTCCCTCTCCGTGCCACTGGATTTTAGTGCTGTTGATGTAGAACTGCTGCGAGTTAAAATTATACGATCCGACCTCCTCGGCATCACCGCTACGGTTCCAAAAAACTACCGAGTAGGTTCCAAACTGCGGGTCACCGTTCTCATCAAACTCAACAGTCTGATTCAAAAGTCCAAAGTTGCTTTTCCACAATGCTGACAGAACCTGTTGTAAAACAAAAATCGGATCACTAGTGAGGTATAGAGTGGGAGTTAAATGATGTGGATTAAATGTAAGTAGGTTAACACTATGTGGTTGGCCTTGATGGAAAGTTCTATTGAGTCAACAAGATATTTGGATCTGCATGTTTTAGTAGTTGTTAGTTATCGTCATTGTTGGCCACCAGCCTGGCCTCTTCGGGTGCAGGAGCCGGGCTCACCCTGCCCCGGTGATCAGCCAGACACTGCCCCTCCTCCTCCGCCCCACCAGGTTGCTGAGGAGCACATCTGACCTGAATCCCTCTGATGAGCCACCTCCGGGATAAAAGGCTGTGCCATCCAGCAGTCTGGGAGGCAGCAGTCCTCCAGGCCTGACGGTGGTTTAAACCCGTTTGTGTTTTGAAGAGTTTTAATGATTTTTAACTCTGAGAGTGATGAGTTTTAACTAACTTTAAAACTCTGAGATGATCCAATAGGATCTTTTGGTATGACCACTTCATGGTCTTGGTGAGGGTATTCCCACTTGAAGTCAACTCATGTTTGACTTGATTGTGATCGTAATGATCTCTGGTTTTTGGTATTTTAAAGGTTAATTCTATTCTGGTTTGAAGACTTGTATCAACTTTCTCTTGTTTTAAAACACCTTCAGTGTTGGTAAAACCTTTAACAAGTTTTAACCAGGCGTTTTAATGAAGTTGTCTTTTACTGTTAACCTTTTAGAGATTTTTTAATGTTTGGCATTATTTTAATAATGGTCTCCATCTGTTTGCACACTTCTTTTTAAACCTTTTGACAATTAAACACATTTTAACTCCTCTATCATGTTTCTTATGCTACCCCCTTTTAGCCTGGCAAGCCAGACTAAATAAATGTATTATTTAGTCTGGCAACGCTCCATTGACGGTTCTCGGTTGTGGGGCGGGTTCTACCGTTGTCTTCCAAATGATCTCCGCATTCCACTGGACAATGAATGTGACATACTCTTGTTTCACTCTGTTACATCATCCCACCCACCAGGCATATAGAGTGTCCTGATTGGCCTACAAAGCGGATAAAGCTCTGTGATTCGTTCACTAAGCAGATAGAGCACTATGATTGGCCCACCATTATGGACCAATCACAGCTCCTTATGTGTTTGAAACCCCTCTAGAGAGCTGTGATTGGCTAGCCAGAGTCCTGGTAGGAGCTGCTGAGGTTCCAATGGAGCATGCCTAGACCATTCTTTGCAAAGCAAGAATTTGGTCTAGTTCACTAGGCTAACCCCCTTTCACATTTTTACCATCTCATGTCGGGGTTGTAACATTCATCAATAGTCCATACAGGTGAGATGAAATTCTACCATTTTGTAATTACAGTTGAGGACTGCAAAAGACCTGGAACACACTTTGGACACCCCAGATGAGAGTCTTTGTTTGGGCAACCATTGCAGATTAGGCCAAACTTTTCAGAAACACAAACATCAAAGAATAAAACGTCAAAATAAAGTAGCCTTGTATATTTTAATGTACTTACTACATATGGGGGCACAGATATATTTCTGTTACAGCTGCTGTCGTCACATTGCAGGACGTTGTGTAAGGCGTGGGCGATGGCGTACACAGCCGAGTAAACAGGGAAATTGAAAGAGGGATCTGCTTGGATGATGTCTTCGGCGCTTATGTTGTTGCAACCGCAATTCTGATTACAAAACATCTCCTGCTTTGCATTTTTGTTTTGGGACTGGGTTTCGAATGAACGAAGGAAATCGATGAAACCTGGTATCGTCATTACCGGCTGAGCAACACCAAGCACGGTTCCGACATTCTGGATTCCCTTTTCCTTGGGAAGCTGTTTGTTTAAAGACCAGGCATCTCCCGCGATCCACACCTTGTTGGTGATATTTTGTACTATGGCAGCGCTAACAAGAGCTTCAGCAGTCCATTCAGGCGCAAAAACAATGATGACATTAACATTCTGTTCATCAAGCTGTCTGAGCACTTGAGGGTAATCCGTGTCTACAGTGAGACCTTTGGTGTAAGCCAAGCAGATCTTCGAATCCTTGATCTTGTTCACAAACAAGTCCATGCCGTCTTTTCCATAAGCATCATTGCTGTACAGGAAGGAAACCCAATGCCAGCTGAACTTTTGCAAAATGTTAAAAACCACATTGATGACATCTTTATTCGGGTGGACCGTTCGCAAGAAGGACGGAAAACTCATTTTATTTGAGAAGACAGAGCTAGCAGCCCCGTAACTGACCTGTTAAAAGAAAAGGAGAAACTGACATTTTAACATACCTGTTTAGACTTTGAAAACACAACAGTTTGGTTTGATCAGGTTAAACAGTTTAATAGCTTTACCATAGGAATGAGATTCATCATGAAGAGCGGGGCTATAGTCAGAGTATCTGTGCTCGTGTAAGTGCCAACCACTGCAATCATTTTAGAAAATGTCTTGCTTACATTTATCCAAGGTTTTAGGGAACCATTAACAGAGATTAGGCTGAGAATACCAGGAAAATTCTGTGTGTCTGAGCAGTGATCAAATATGTTATAGCCCAGCGTTACGTTTGGCAGCAGGTTGGTGGAATTATTGATTTCCTCTACAGAGAATCTCATCAGCTGAAACCTCCGATAGCTCGACAGAATGAAGGGTTGACTGCAAACAAATGTCATGACAGATTTAAGTACTGTTAGAATCACCGACCACATTAATTTGATTGGTTGGTAGGATTACCTTTTATTAAACTAATCTGGATTTTTGATTTTCTCAAAGAGGTTTTGTGAAATATATAAGTAGAAAAGAAATAATAACCGGTAAACAAATAAACTCTTATGCTTTATTGATCAAAGATTAAAAACTCACCTTGCACAGGTGACGGTTTCTGGTCCATCACGAAAAGGCGTTCCGCTAACATGATGGATATCAAAAAGTCCACCAATCACAAAATCACCATCCATCTCAAACTCTGAAGCCGTGACATCCGCAGGCAGGAAATGCAGAAAACACCCCAGTAGACACAGATTAATGAGAACCAGCTTCGCCCTCATGGTTACCATATGAGTCTCTAAACATGAACTAATGGAACTAGTCTTTATCTTTTCTAAGGGACACTTGGTTTTGTGGTTAAGCTGTGGGGAACATTTCCAAGAACAGGAGATGAGTCACAAACATCCATGGCTGCATTTACAAATCAGCATGCAAAAATCAGTTCCTGAGATAAAAACAAGTTACCAATATGCAACATTTGGATAGAAGTTACTTCAGTGCCTTAATATCAATCTGGCAGCCTGTCTAGATGCGGCATGCCTTTCACTCCTCTGCAATTCTAAAAAAAATTAAACAAAAAAAGCCACCCCGGAAATGGACTGATGGAAAACTTTGTTCCCGAGGGTGAAAGACGAGTCCCTGCAGTGATTTAGCCACAAACAAATGCACACAAATAAATAAATTCATTGAACTGGAAATCTCTGGTTTATGCTAAAATGTTACATCCTTTAACAAATAAGCTCTGCATGAGTTCACCTTTGGAAACACAAATGATTTGAGATTCTATTTGAAACTACTTAAGCTACCAGCTTGAATGGGGTTTGTCATAACAAACACGAAAACCATTTTTCCTCTAGGTTTTTTTTCCTTTTGGAGGATCTTTATTGGAAAGTAAGATAGAGGAGTCCCAGAATATGGGAGGTTACCAGTGTTTAATGTTTTCCATTTTATTATAATTTGGTAATTTTACAAATTTTCTTCCACGTATTTAATCATTATTACCTGCTTTTGTGGTATCTTTTATTTTGGAAACAAGCAAATATACAAAACACAATTCAGGGCTTGTTCAAAGCTACACATGGGCCCTTTGCAAAAAGAGAAAGAGAAGGGAAAGATGAAACATTACTTGATGGCTAAGAAGCCAAAAGTTTCACAACTTTTACTAAAAACTAAATGGACTGAATACAGGGCCAGTCAAAGTTTTAATTATACTATTTAGTCATTTAAAATACAACATATGAGGTTATGCACTATAGCATGTTGAGTAGGTAGGTATTAATCACCAGTAGGATGAGGCATTAGCACAAGTATCCCAATATGCATCCATGGAGAAAAAGTGAAATCTGCAAACAGAACATATTCTAAAATTATGGAAAAAAAATCTTTAAAAAACAATGTCTAAGAACCAGCAAACTAAAAGGGAACACAAATGAGCAATGCAACATATGAAAAATCAAACTTAACAATGTGATAAATTAACACTGCATAGAATATTTGTGTTAAAACCTGTTAAAAATAATGCAGAATAAAATAGAAAAATCTGAATTGCTACATAGAAGTTGTGTTTTTTGACAATGAATGAGCTGCTCTTGATCAACTTTAAATGTCAACATAGGAAAAAAAGAATAAAAGCATTTTTGAAGAAAAGGACAAATGAAGATTCTATAACCAAGCATCCGACTGCATAAAGCAGCAAATATTTGCAGCAAGCTACTGAGTAACTGTTTTGGTATAGTTCTGAATTAGACATTGGAAGTGCTGCTGTGTGTTTTTGTTTGGTTGAAATATAATGATGTAGCATTTTGGGAGAAAATACCACAGCAGTAAAGAGTAAAGACTGGAGAGAACAGCCAGAGCATTGAATAATGGGATGTATTTTCCTCGATAAAGAATCCATGTAGTGGCAAAGACAACCCACGTGAGGATCAGCAGCAGGAGGCAGAACGTTATCGCTTTGGCTTCGTTGTAATTTTTGGGGAGGTCTTTTCCCATGTAGGAGAAAATAAAGCAAAGAATGCAGAGTGATGAAAGGAAAACCATAGAGCCAAATAATGCATTTTGATTGAAGTCACAATCAAGTATGATTCGGTCATGTTGGAAGAATATGTTTTTGAGAGGCTTTGGAGGGGCAATGGCATAGCCAATAATAAGTAAAATTCCCTGAGTGACAAAAGCCACAGAGATGATAAACCATTGTCCGTTATATTTCACCCACCAGCTGAGGAGTTTGGGGAACTTGGCGGCTATTTTGAAAATGCAAATGATCTGAAAAGAGCGCACAACAAAGCATGCCAGACAAACAGTGAAGAACAAAAGAAATGGTAAAAACCTTAATACACAAGAAGCCGTTGTGGGTTTATCAAAGTAGAAAAATACTCCAACACTACACAGACTGAGGCAAACTAAAATCAGGAAGCACATTGGTCCTCCAGCAGATTTGACAACAGGTGTGTTGTAGTTGATGGCAAAGAGAACAGATACAGCAATGCCGAGGCCCAAGAACAACAGGGTGCAGACCATGATCAACATGGCTCCAATATTTGTGAACGGGATGAACTCCACCAGCCGCTGGTTGCAGGATGTACTTCCTTCTTCAGACCACTCGTTTTCCTTACAGTTGATGCAGTCATGAGGATTCCCTGTTTTAAACAGTTATATCAAATCTGTATCGAGTCACTGACTAGTGTCAATGTCTTTACAGCAATCTTCATACTAAGCAAGCATGTAGTGACAGTGGAGAAAAAGAACTCCCTTTTAACAGGAAGAAACCTCCAGAGGATCCTGGCTCAGTATGAGCAGCCATCCGCCACGACTCACAGGGATTGAGAGGGCAGAGCAGACACATTCAATTCAATTCAAATTCATAGATACTTTATTAATCCCAGAGGGAAATTAGAGTGCAAACACAACACCCACCCACACACACACACATGTTTTATATTCTATTTTCTTCAAAATAGCCACCCTTTGCTCTGATTACTGCTTTGCACACTATTGGCATTCTCTTGATGAGCTGCAAGAGGTAGTCACCTGAAATGGTTTTCCAACAGTCTTGAAGGGGTTCCCAGAGGTGTTTAGCACTTGTTGACCCCTTTGTAAATGGTCATGAAAATAAAGAAACCACATTGAATGAGAAGATGTGTCCAAACTTTTGGCCTGTACTGTATGTACCAAGTAGTTTTTCTATGGCTACATTGTGATTTCTTAGTAGATATTCTATTTATTAAGAGGTAAACGTCATTTTCTTTATCTGAAGTAGTAAAAAAGTTTTCAAATGTAAGATCAGACAGAACACCGCAGACTTCCGTTTATCTTGGACATAACTTGCTATTTATTGTGACTGAAGCAGCGATCGTTACATTTTCTTAACAAATCCTAAAGATGTCTGTCCACCATAGTCCCCGTGCAGTGTCTGGTGATCTGAGCTTCAGTTCTAATGGAGAGAAGCTCCAGTGCTCCAGTTTGCCACCTCAGCTGACTTTGTTCAAAAGGCAAAACTTACAGCCCACTTTCTATGTAATTGCTGGCCAGAGCTCAGCAGTGACTTCCTACGTCATCATGACACATCTTTCTGAGCGCAAAATTCGCGCAACGCCATGCCAGCAAAACACGGTGCATCTTGTAAAAAGGGCTATTGAGAAACACCCATAAGGGCATCAAGCTGATGGAGGAAATGGCAGAATTGTTGGAGCAAATAACGAAAGCCGTTAGAAAAAAAGACAAAATACAACAAAGCCTATAGTTAGCCCATCCCACCCACTTCATCTAGCAACAAGCTAATTTAGAATGATAACTGAATGCTAAGCCTTTATAAAGTAAATAAAGACACCTTTTCCTTGCATTTTCCTCTTTGGTGTACATGTATTCATTTACCTGTACTATTGACATAAGTTCCATTTGGACAGATGGTACAACTAAAACAGCAATGGTGGATTCCTTCTTGGTTCATTGCATATCCTCCAGGACAGGTTTGGGAACACAATGACACAGGCACCTGTGAGAGTCAGGTATAAAGCATATGTGGCAGTCCTCACCATCACTCCTACTGTTGTAGGTAAATCAGAAATTCATGTAAGTAACATTTAATAATAAATAAATTGGTTGGCTTACCAAAAGAATAGTTTATATTTTTAACATCCTTTGGAACTTTTAATGCATAACCAGTAAAACTTAAAATCACAGTACCTTATCTGAATGCCAATGAATTTTGGTATCATTGATGTAGAACTGGACTGATGGATAAAGATCACTGAAGCCAACAACTTCGGCTTCACCACTATGGTTCCAGAAAACGATTGAATAGGGTCCAAATTCGGGGTCTCCATTCTCATCAAACATGACGCTCCTATTTAAAAGTACAAAGTTGGATTTTTTCAAAGCCGCCAAAACCTGTTGTTGAAAAATAAAGTTTAGTTTAGTCTTCCTGTTCTCTAAAGTGTTCAATTGGTGTTAAGATTTTGATTGAATAGATACATTGTACTCTAGATTCTACTATTTAGTCAAGTACATATTTTAGGGTATAGAAGGACATTTGGACTACACTGAATGACCATTGAAACAGCGTGGACTGAAAATAATCAAATGGTCAAAACATGACAAAGAAAGGCTACAGGAATCATATATACATGAAGCATACGTACCATGTGTGGTTGCGGTTTTATACTTCTATTACAGCTTCCAGCTCCACACTGCAAGACTGTGTGCAAGGCATGGGCGACGGCATACACGGCAGAGTAAACAGGAAAATTTGAAGAGGGATCTGCATTGATGATATCTTCAGCACTTACATCACTGCAGTTGCAGTTCTGGTTACAAAAATGTGGATTTGCATTTCCATTTTGGGAATTGGCTTTAAACGAATGGATGAAATCACTGAAACCTGGTATCGTCATTAATGGTTCAGCAACACCAAGTATAGTTCCAATATTCTTGATTCCTTTCTCCTTGGGAAGCTGTTTGTGTAAGGACCAGGTATCTCCTGCAATCCACACTTTGTTGGTGACATTTCGCTTTATTGCTGCTTTGATGAGATCTTCAGCAGTCCATTCAAGTGCAAAAGCAATGATGACATTTACCCTCTGTGAGTCTATATGTCTAATTATCTGAGGGTATTCCGTGTCTACAGTAAGGCCTTTGGTGTATGCCAAGCAGATTTCTGTGTCCTTTATCTTATCTATAAACAAGGCCAGGGCGTCTTTCCCATAGTCATCATCAGTGTAAAGAAATGAAACCCAGCGCCAGTTGAAGTGTAACAAAATCTTCACAACCACTTCTATGACATCTTTATTGGGATGCACGGTTCGTAAGAAAGATGGATAATTACGTTTTTCTGATAAGACCGAGCTAGAAGCCCCATAACTGATCTGTTGTAAAAACATAAAAAGTGTTTTAGTACCTTCTAAAGTGTGAAGTACATTAATTCAGACACTTTCTACAAATGTTACCATTGGAACGAGTTCCATCATGAAGATCGGGGCTGCAGTCAGTGTATCTGTGCTTGTTAGAGTGCCAACCACTGCAATCACATTAAAACTTCTGCTGGATATATTCTTAGGTTGGATGAGACCATTCACAGAGATCAGGTTAAACAAATTAGGAAAATTCTGTGTGACTGAGCAGTGGTCAAATATTTCATAGCCAAGAGTTACATTTGGCAGCAGGACAGTGGAGTTGTTGATTTCCTCTATAGAGAATCTCATCACATTGAACCTCATATAACTTGACAGAATCAGCGTTTGACTGTGGACAGAGAAAGAACAGCATTGCAGCATATGAAATATTCTGCAAACACATTTGCCAAAATGACACATAGATTAGAAAACTCACCTTGAACAGGTGGTGGCTTCTGGTCTGTTACGGTAAGGTGTTTCAACAACATGATGGATATCAAAAAGTCCACCAATCAAATAATCCCCATCCAACCTAAACTCGGAAACTTTGACGTTGCATTCAGCAAAGTCATGCAGAAAACATCCCAGTAGAAACAGATGAATAACAACTTGCTTTACCACCATCATTATTGTTTGTCTCCTTCAACTTGAACACACATAAAACTTCTCTCTGCCTTTTTAAAGAGACATTAGCAGTGGTTTAATCGTGGATATCATTTACATGAAATGGGGATGAATGGTTGAGGGAGAATTTACAAATCAGCATGCAAAATTAATAAAATATGTTGCAGCTGATGCCATGAGACCTTAAAGGTGCAACCTGTAATACTGAAGCAAGCATGACATCCTGTGGTCAAATTTGGGTACTGCAGTCTATTTTTAGGTAAGGTAAGGTGACTTTCTCACTACCGTTCTGTGAGTTTAATGAATGTTGCAAGTTACAGATCAGCAACGGAAGATTCTAGAAGACGAACAAAGATGAGCCATACACAGTAAGTTGATCATTAAATAAATGCATTGTCATTTCTGATATTAGCACTTGGGTATTTTATGTGTAGGGAGCACTTATTACACTTAATACAGTACTGAGCCTTTTGCATTAGAGGATGTGTAGTTATTTGCCAACTTGCAAAGCATCTTGTTAGCGCGCTGTCATAGTTCTAAAAGACTCATTAAAGGAATTAACACAGCACAAATGACTCATTATTAACCTCGTGCATGCTTTTTACTGTAATACTGAGTTAAATGGTAAATGGCCTGTATTTGAAATAGTGCCTTCTAGAGTCCTGGAACCCCCCTAAGGTGCTTTAGAACACAATCAGTCATTCACCCATTCACACACATTCACAGACTGGTGGGGATGAGCTACAATGTAGCCACAGCTGCCCTGGGGCGTACTGACAGAGGCGAGGCTGCCGAGCACTGGCGCCACTGATCCCTCTGACCACCAGCAGCAGGCAAGGGGGGTTAAGTGTCTTGCCCAAGGACACAACAACAGCAACAGACTGAGCGGGGCTCGAACCTGCAACCTTCCGATTACGGGGTGTTGAGGATTTACCCTCATGAGGAAATTACTGTGCAGTGATTGTCTCCAAAAGACTGTGCTAAATTGCTCTGAAAAGCATATTAAACATCAGCGCCAGCTGACACTTCATTTACCATGATGCTTTGCACACGGAAGCAATGTGATGACGTCCCCGCCGAATACCAGAAACACGTTCTGCGCATGTGCGGGAGCTCATGGACAGTTCCCACCAGCTCAAAAGCTATAAATTACAACGAAACGACATCGTTCTTTGTCTTTCGTTCAGTCAACTGACTTGAAGACGTTTTGCTGCGATCGCTCCGGTCAACGCGAGCACGCGGGAGGTCTAAGTGCTGAAGTGGAGCGAGCACGGAACCGCTGGAAAGCCAAGCCACAAGCCCATCAGGTCTGCTCTCCTGGTGCTGATCTCCAGCCAATTAACGCCGGGGACACACCGGCCGCGGAAGCGCCGCGGAAGCGCCGCGGAAGCGCCGCGAAGCGCCGAGAAGCGAATCGCTCACGAAATTCGGCCGCTGCTCGCCGCTCCTCAGTTCAGATCAGACGCGCCCCAGTCGAGGCGCGCCTCGGCTCAGCTGTAGTTTTTCTTTTAAACACTTGGTGTCCTCCATTTCCTCTCTGCCTTTTCTCAGCTCTTTTCCTACGTTTGAGTGTTTGTGCGCGTGCGCGCGCGCGCGCGTGTGTGTGAACCTATGGTATGAGTTGTTTCTGCCAGTTGAATCTCTTGGAACCCGCTCCAATTCTGCAGCTGTATCCTAGCAGTTTCTTCCGACATGGGTACGTAAACAATCGTGTTTTTCGGGGGGCGTGCAGCTCCTTGTGTTTCTCAACTTCCATAATTAATTTAAAGTCATCCATCCTAACTGCTTGCCTCAGACTTTCTGCCTCTCTGTCCTGTTTGCTCCGGTGAAAAGACACCCAAAACCACTCCCCCCTTCACGTGGTCACACACGCACACAAGTTCGATGTGTGTGTATGTGTGCGTGTTCGTGTGGTTTTTCTGCAGTGTCTGTTTCCGAACACATTTGACTATTGCGGAATTTTATTTTGAAATGCTTTATTTTGTTAACTTTACCGGCCTGCCTCTTATGTCTAGGTTTGACTTCCTGCCAGAATTGACGCGATTCACCCGCGGCTCGCGAAAAAAATAGAGCCGACGCCGAAATGATCGCTGCACGGCGCGGGCTGGGGCGCCGGCGCGCGCCGGCGCGAGGCGATTCGCAGCGCTTCGGCGGCCCATGTGGTCTATAGAATTGCTCAACAAGGGCGCCGAATGAAGGCGACCCCATTTTCGCGGCGCTTCGCGGCCAGTGTGTCCCCGGCCTTATGAGGAAACGTTCGTTGCTACGATCCAGTTTGTGTGAGGACAGAACGCTGGAAAACAGCGGAGGACCACCAAACCGACGGAGAACGCCGATTAAAACAACGGAGACCCGTCAGATCAAACAGTGCGGGATGCCTCGCTGTTCTGGTGATAAGAGTAACTCCTCTCCTCCTCTCTCTCTATCTTCTCCCGTTTCCTTTATAGTTCAGAATAAGCAATAAAACTGCGCTATTGCTTCAAATTATCAGACGGGTTTTTTCTCTTTTTTGTACCCAAATACGCCCGTCGGGAGTATTCCAAGAGTACGCCGTTTCATTGGTCATTGTTTAATATCTTTAAATGGTTTCTGCTGTGGCCAAGCTGTTTAACCGATCAGATATTAATTTATGATTAATCTTTGATGAAGCTTCATGATCCTTTTGAAATGTTTTGAGTTATTTACAGTTAAGTTACTCTGATTCTAAGTGCTTCGGAAGTTAAAGTGCAAGTTGCCACCCACACTTATACACACAACTTCAGCCAAACAAAGGGGTCAGACATCTTGTATTCAAGACTCCAATTTTAATACATATCCGAACACACACACACAAACACACACCTTGAACACCATTTTGATTACCCCAACTCAATTATATCACATCATTATTATTCATTACTTCATTGTTTATTCATTTGATAAATAGGATAGTTAATAAATGTTGTAAAATTCAATCCAGTTGTGTCAAGCGACTTTGTCTGTGTCGGCTGAAAATTTCTGCTCCTAACAATTCCACGAACTTCAGACAGATTGATAAGATTTTGGATTCAATTAATTTTCCCTTTCTAATCAGAATGGGTGGTGCCCCGTAGATATCTAAGAATATCTTAATTAATTAATAAATCGGTAAATATTTCCATATTTACAGAATTTATTGAAGAATCCAAAAAAGTAAGTAAAGCTTACAATTATTCGTTTACCTATAACCCCAACAGGGGCGAGCACTCGACTCCTGTGCCACGGTCGCCCCAGTTGGTAAATGGTAAATGGTAAATGGCCTGTATTTGATATAGTGCCTTCTAGAGTCCTGGAACCCCCCAAGGTGCTTTACAACACAATCAGTCATTCACCCATTCACACACACATTCACACACTGGTGGGGATGAGCTACAATGTAGCCACAGCTGCCCTGGGGCTCACTGACAGCCGTGGCTGCCGAGCACTGGCGCCACCGGTCCCTCCGACCACCACCAGCAGGCAAGGGGGGTTAAGTGTCTTGCCCAAGGACACAACGAAAGCGACAGACTGAGCGGGTCTCGAACCTTCAACCTTCCAATTATGGAATTGAGAAAGTAGCTTGAGATATTTTTAGATCTGACCAATAGTTTCTGATTCACTGTTAGCATTGTTAGCTCAACATTAGCCTTTAGTTTCCTTTAGGTGATAATTGAGGAAAACAGAGTGATGCTGACTTTCTTCAAGCCCCCCCCCCCCCCCCCCCCCCACACACACACACACACACACACACACACACACACACATACAAACACGCACTCCTCTTTCCAAGCCGTGCCTTCAGATTACAGGAAGACACAATGCTTGTTCTTGAGAATTCAGTTTTATATATTCGGCCCATTGTTGACACCTTTTCCACCATAGGGCACCATAAGGGCAGCAGTAGCTTAGGAACTAGAGCGGGTTGTCCAGTAATTGGAAGGTTGGAGGTTTAATCCCGGGTCCAACCAGAGAATGCAGCTGTTGTGTCCTTGGCCAAGACACTTAACCCGCCTTGCCTGGTGCTGGTCGGAGGGGCCGGGGGCGCCAGTGTTCGGCTGGCTTCGTCTCTGTCAGTACTCCCCAAGGCAGCTGTGGCTACATTATAGCTCATTCACACCAGTGTGTGAATGGGCGAATGACTGACTGTGTTGTGAAGCCCCTCGGGGGAATTGTAGAATCCTAAGAAGGTGCTGTACAAATACAGGCCATTTATCAATTTTACCATATTTGGTAATGTAATTAACCTATGTAACAGCATAACATTTTAACATGCATTTCCAAGGGCAGTTTTATTTATTTTCATAAGCGTGGTTGGTTGGTGGCTCCCTGGCCACTTGGTCTACGGTGTGTGATGTGCATACAAAGCGCTGGTTATGAGCCAGGCATTAAGAACGGGACATTCACAATGTTTTGAGGAGTTTTTTCAAAGGCTGCATATTTCAGAGATGAAAAAATAATTAATTTTTTGACAAAATGTGTCATTTATTTGTTGCCATTGCATTGGTATATAAAGAGCATTTAATGCAATAGGACAAAGCATGCTTCAGAAAACCACCATGCATTCAACCTTCAATACAAATTCAACAGTGAGCTGCTCCAAGTATGTGATTATGTAGCATTAACACAAATATAACAATTCTGGAAACTGAGCTAAATCTGAAAAGCAGACAAAATCTATAATTAATAATAACTTTGTCAAACAACCAGTCAAAGAATCAGCTAAGGGGAGCACAAAAAAGCCAAGATTCCTTTGAGAAGCAAGCTGACCAAGAGAGTCTCTGACTTTGGGAACCAGCTTGTCTGGGGCACAGATGAGGATTTCAGTCTTATCTTCATTCAGCTGAAGAAAGCTCCCAGCCATCCAGGTTTTGATGGAGTCTAAGCAGGTGTGTAACAGCTGCAGCTTAGACATCTCATGGGGCTTAAATGAGATGTACAGTTGGATGTCATCTGCAATAAGATGGTCGGAGCTTCCTTTGAAGGAGCTCAGGATGTGCTGAAGAGGAAGCAGACAGAGGAGGAAGAGCAGAGGCCCCAGCACAGAACCTTGTGGGACACCATGGGTAAGGGACGTGGAGGAGGACCTAAACTTGGAGACGGCCACAGAAAAGGAGCGCTCAGAGAGATAAGAGGAGAACCACTCCAGAGCAGATCCTTATAGGCCTACCCAGTCTCTCAGCCTCTCCAGTAGCAGGTGATGGTCAACAGTGTCAAAGGCTGCAGTTATGTCCAGCAGGACCAGAACAGAACAGTCCCCTGCATCACTGTGGGTAAGAAGGTCATTAGAGACCCTAAGAAGAGCTGTTTCAGTAGAATGAGCTCTACAAAAACCTGACTGGAAGCGATCATAGATGTTATGTTCATCAAGAGCAGCTGTGAGTTGTTTAGCCACAACCTTTTCCAAGATCTTGGAGATGAACAGAAGTTTGGAGATGGGTCTGAAGTTGCTAAAGAGAGAGGGGTTGAGACTCGTTTTTTAAGAAGTGGGTGGATTACAGCATTCTTAACGTAAGCAGGGACCTGACCAGAAACCAGATAAGCATTAATTATAGAGAGCATGCTGGGATCGATGGACCGATGTCGGAGACCCCTGTACAGAAGTCCCCAGGCTAACTCCCAGTACGACCAGGTCAGTCCAGGGTCATCTTCCAGGTAACGACAGTTGGACTAGCTTGCGTCTCAGCAATAACTCTTAAGGAGTTGAACAAATCAGCTTTGTTCTGCAGGAAACTATCTTCTTGTTATCAGCTTTGCAGGTGCGGAAAAGGTTTAAAAAGGTTTTGAAGACGTGTCAAAATCCTTGCTGGTTAAAGAGGTTTTGCTCAGATGGCCGGTCCGAAGCGTTTCCTCTGGAACTCTCGAACTGTTGAACTGTTCGAACTGAAGGAAAAACCAGAGTAATCTAGTTTTAATATATTGATGTTATGAATAAATAGCCAACCAAAAGTTGACAAGTTTGAGGGATATTACCAAGAAACTCAGAGACACGCCCTTTTTGATTCGGAGGCTCTGAATCTGGGCAAAAGGTTAACTATGTGTCATGCGTTTTTCACTTTAGCTTACTTTGCTTGTGTGAGTGCAAATGGTGATGACCTCGTCAAGTAAACATGCTAACATATATCATTAAGCACAGATTAATGAACATGTCATTGTTTTCTAATTATTATAAGTAGCAATAAACAAATGTTTATTTAATGATTATCTTTAACTTTAAAATCTTCTTTTTCTTCTGATCTTCTGTGAATCAAGGAGTTTATGTAATGAGTTCCTCTGTAAAGGGACCTTGGTAGGAGAGAATGTTATTGTTATGATTTGATTATCTCTGTCAGAACTGCAG